AAACATTAGCAGAAGCAGAAGAAAACATGTAGGCAAAGTGCTGAAGATTTAAATCAGACCAGGCACTGTGGCTCATGCCTGTCATCCCACCACCACTTTGGGAGGCTGAGGTGGGAGGATCACATGAGCCCAGGAGTTCAAGACCAGCACCTGGGCAAAATAGTGAGACCTCATCTCTTAAAAAAACTAAAAAAGAAAGAAAAGAAATTTAAGAAGAAAGAGATTTAAATCAAAGTCTCCCTGGGTGGAGGGCCACAAGTAGGACTTACCATGAGTTCAGCTGCACTGACAACCCAACCTCACCACTTGCTGCCCTGATGACTCTGACCTCCCTGCAGCCGATCTGGCCAAGAATCTGGCTGTGTAGTCACTGTCACACCTGTCGGACTAAGACTGGAAGTGACAAGACCTGGAGCAAGCTGGCAGGGTGGCTCCCACTGTAGCAGGATGAGCCACAGACAAAACTCCTCAGACACCGAATTAAAGAAGGAAGAGGTTTTTTATTTGGCCGGGAGCGTCGGCAGACTTGCGTCTTAAGAGCCGAGCTCCCTGAGGAAGAAATACTTGGCCTTTTTAAAGGCTTACAACTCTAAGGGGTCCACGTGAAAGGGTCGTGATAAATCGAGCAAGCGTGGGAAACGTGACTGGGGGCTACATGCATCAGCTAACAGAACAGAAAGTTTTACAATGCTTTTCTCATACAGTGTCTGGAATTTACAGATAACACAAATAGTTTAGGCCAGGGGTTGATGTTATTATTATTACTTTGTTTAACTCCTAGGACTGGGTGGTGGTGCCAAGGTTGTCTGGCTATTTATCTTACTTTTGTTTGTTTCTCTTTACTCCTGTCTTGTGAACTAGGCAAGGTGGGGGGAGGAGGGAAGCAGGAGTAGTAGTGGTCTCCTTCCTTACCACATGGGGAGGAAAGGGCTCCCCAGGCCTCTCTCGGTCCGGCTCAGAGTCACTGTGACTGTGTCAAGCAATGAGACGCCGCAGAGCCCGCACTGCACTCCCAGACAAGTCATGCAGGGGGATGATACCACGGATGATCTTAAAAAGCAATTTGGGTTTAAAATCTGGCACATTTTAGAGGACAGATCACAAACTACATGTCCAAGGACTTCAGTGTATAAATGAATGTATTTTAGAAAACAGAGCCCATGCAGTGAGCTGAGATTGCAGGACTGCAGCCTGGTGACAGAGAGAGACTCTGTCTCAAAAAAAAAAAGAAAGACAGAAAGAAAAAGAAAAGAAAAAAGAACCTAATTGTGTTATTATATACTTAATGGCATTTGAATATAAAGTTCACATATCTTACTAAAAACCAAATTTGTAAAGGAGTTATGGGGAAATCAGCCACATTTTAACAAATGTCCTCTTTTGCAGTTCCCTGTCGTTGCTAAGATGCCCCTTCTAAGAGCAGGGGGCATGGTGTAGAGAGAAGGGCGAGGTCACTGGCGTCAGGCGCAGCGTGTCACTGCAGATAACACAGTACCCTCTGGACATCGTTCCTCATTCAGAATGGGCGGGGTGGGGGAGCTGCTGCTTACTCTGCGGGGCTGAACTGGAGACGGCAGATGATGACTGTGAAGTGGGTGCCTGCTGCAGGCAGCACTCTGAAAGGCACCCATGGCAGGGAGCCAAGCCCAGCCAGCTGACATGGGCTGTGTAGCAACTGGGCACAGCAGGGGCCCTAGAACCAGGCTTGGCCCTGGTGTCCTGCAGGCAGCAGGGACAGTCCATGAGCGGGGATCCCAAGGAGGTCTTCAAACATCTGTATGAACTCAACCTTACAAAACTCTGCAAAGCCTCTTAAGCCTTTCTCACCCAGAACCAAGCTGCCTATCTTGTGCCCGTCCTCCTTCTCCTGCTGCACCATGTGGTGCTGCTTCTCTGGCCCCCGTAGCCGCTGTGTGAAACCTTGTTGAGGCGCCGCCTTGTCCTTAAGTTGTCACTCAAGCCTGTTTGAATCTGAGCAAAAGAGGAAATAATTTGTGTTCCTTTCTGTGTAGCGACTGTATGTAAACGTTGTTAGCTGACTTACTGAAATGATTTAATAATTCACAAAACTCTTTTTTTTAGTGCTGTATACTAAATAAAATACACAAGGCAGCAATACTTTGGGGTCAGAAACACTGTTTACTACAAGTCAGTTATGGAATCATAACTTACAGTAAAAATGGGCATGTCCAAGGCTCAATTTTTCTTTCTTCATTTACAGTAGAATAAATAGTTTGTTGCTAATTTTCTACACCCTCTACTGGGAATTTGTGTTACTTTTATAATCAGAAAAATAAATATTGCAGTCATGTAGCATATAGTGATATTTCGGTCAACAACAGACAGTATATATATAACAGTGGTCCCATAAAATTATAATACCATATTTTTCCCGTAGCTTTTCTGTGTTTAGATACACAAATCCTTGCTGCACAGATCTGTAGCCAAGGGGCAAATGCTATACCATGTGGCCTAGGTGTGCAGTAGGCTGCACCCCCTTCCTTGGTCTAAGTATACTCTAAGATGTTCACATCAGTGAAATCACTTGATGATGCATTGTCGAGAATGTATCCCAGCTACTGAAGGACACATGGCTGAACTGAAGAGCACCTTGTGATGCGGGCTGCAGCTGAGTTCTGCGCATGATGTGGCTGGAGCCCTGAGGAAAGGGAGGGCTATGGACTGAATAGTGTCCCCCGCTGCCAATATTAGATGCTGAAGCGCTAATCCCCAATGTGACTGTATTTGGGGACAAGGCCTGTAAGGAGATGGTGAAGGTTAAGTGAGGTCATAAGGGCGGGTCCTGATCCAATAGGATTCGTGTCCTTACAAGAGACCAGAGAGCTTGGGTGCTACCATCCTACGGGAGGACGTGGTGAGAAGGTGGCTGTGTGCAAACCAGGAAGAGGCCTCTGGGGCTTTTAGCCTCCAGAACTGTGAGAAAATGAAACCCTGTTGTTTAAGCCACTCAGTCAATGGTATTTTTTTTAGGGTGCCTGGGGCTGACTAATGCAGAAAGATTCGCCCTCCCGGGGAGAAGAGGCGGGGGCCGGTGGACTCCTCTGACTTTCCTGGCTGTCCGCAGAATTCGGTCCCTGCCCCTCCGCCTTCTGCCAAAGCATCCTTCTAAGGGCAGACCTGATCGCACTGTCCGGAGGTCCCCAAAGGCCACAGAAAAGTCTCAACTCCTGGACCTCATGAGTCCCATCCCACTGGTGGAGCTCCCTGTCTCTGCTCTGCTCTCCTCTCAGGAGGGAAAGTTAAGGGCCTGCTTGGCCACCCTCTAGGGAGGTGCCACGATGGGATGCGGCATCCTAGTGATGAGCTGGGGGTAAGCCAGCGTGTCTCTACTGGTGCTTTTCCCAGAACTGAATGCACACTCTTAAGATGATCTTTAGGAATGGAAGAATCAAACCGCGAAGAATCACATGCCTGTAGTCCCAGCCTACAAGGAAGGCTGAGGCTTGGGGATCACTTCAACCCAGGAATTTCAGTCCAGCCTGGTCAACATAGTGAGAACCAGTGTCAGAAAAACAAATAAATAAAAAGGAAGTATCAGGTGATTGTTCCAAACTCCTCCAAAATGGGTATTGGGTCCCCACTCTGCTCTTCCTGGAACAGGGGTGTGACTTCCCCTTTCCTGTTGGCCATAAACCCACTCCTTCCCACTAAATTGATGAGAAAAGAAAAAGCATTCACAGCACTTTGAGTTATGTGAGGTGTGCAGAATTTATCAGGCCCAAAAAGACAGGATATGGACTTCAGTCACACCCCTCATACCCATGTCTCGGGGAGACTGTTTAAAGGCATTTTGTTTCTGACTAGCTTAACCCATTATCTTCCTGTTCCTGGAATTTGTGACAATGTAGACAATATAGAGACAATAAACAGCCTTTTTTTTTTTTTTGAGATGGAGTCTCACTCTGTTGCCCAGGCTGGACTGCAATGGTGTGATCTTGGCTCACTGCAAACTCCACCTCCTGGGTTCAAGTGATTATCCTACTTCAGCCTCTCAAGTAGCTGGGACTATAGGCGCTTACCACCATGACTGGCTCATTTTTGTATTTTTGGTAGAGACAGGGTTTCATCATGTTGGCCAGGCTGGTCTTGAACTCCTGACTTCAAGTGATCCTCCTGCCTCGGCCTCCCAAAGTGCTGGGATTACAGGTGTGAGCCATCATGCCCAGCCCAATAAATAGCTTATGTTATTTTAATATAAATTCCTCAGGCCAGGCCACCCAAGGTGGGAGGATCCCTTCAGGTCAGGAGTTCAAGACCAGCCTAGGCAACACAGCAAGACTTCCTCTCTAATTTCAAAATTCTTGGTAAGTTAGGAACTGTCTCTTCTTTTCCTTTAAAAACCCACTTGTAACTGCGGCTAATTAGAGGTATATATTAAGACAACTTGCATCTCCAGGGTTGCACTTCTCAAACTTGGCACAAATAAACTCTTTTTTTCAAGATGGCATTTTGCTCCGTCACCCAGGCTTGAGTGCAGTGGTGCGATCTTAGCTCACTGCAACCTCTGCCTCTCAGGTTCAAGGAATTCTCCTGCCTCAGCCTCCTGAGTAGCTGGGATTACAGGCGCGTGCCACCATGCCTTGCTAATTTTATTTTATTTTTTGTAGAAACGGGCAAGGTGGGTCTCACCACGTTGCCCAGGCTGGTCTCGAACTCCTGACCTGAAGCAATCCTCCTGTCGTGGCCTCCCAAAGCACTGGAATTACAGGCATGAGCCGCTGTGCCTGGCCCAACCTCTCCACTTAGGCTAATTTTGCCTCCTTTCTTCTTTTTTTTTTTTTTTGACGGACTCTGGCTGTGTTGCCCAGGCTGGAGTGTGCAGTGGCCTAATCTCGGCTCACTGCAACATCTGCTTCCCAGGTTCAAGCAATTCTCCTACCTCAGCCTCCCATGTAGCTGGGATTACAGGTGCTGACCATCAGCCCGGGTAATTTTGGTATTTTTAGTAGAGACGGGTTTTCACCATGTTGGCCAGGCTGGTCTCGGGGAACTGCTGACCTCGGGTGCTCCACCTGCCTCGGCCTCCCGAAGTGCTGGGATTGCAGGGTTGAACCATCGCGCCCAGCCCGTTTTCTCCTTTTGGGTCACAAAAGGGATGGTGCTGGGTGGGAACGGGAAGAGGGGGTGATTGCAGCGCTGCTGTGACTTGGGTAGATGGCAGGAAGGCTTCTCAGAAGCGGCCTTGTTTGCAAAGATCTGAAAAAGGCTTGGAGAGGAGCAGGGTTGGGGCATTCAGGGAGGGGGCGGTGGCACACTGGGAGCAAGGCAATGTTCCGTGACCCACAAAAGCCATGCAGTAGCTGTTCCAACCCCGGTCAGAAGACGCCCCGGAGACGCCTCAGCACCCGCCAAACCTTTCATGACCCCGCTGCCTTCCCGCCAATCCTGCATCCAATCAGAGAGTGTCCGCACTCCACGTGTTGAGCAATGGCCAATCAGAACTGGGACCCCGCCTTCGGCCCGCCTCCCAGGAACTCCAGGCCAATGGCAGCCTGGCAGCGGCGGGCCAATCCCGTGCAGCGCGCGCGGGCAGACGGTTGCAGTTGGCCCTCAGCAGCTGTGGCAGCCGGTTGAGGTCTGGAAGCAGCGTCGGGCTGAAGCGGCGGAGTTCGCCATGGTAAGACCCGGGTCCTTCCTGCCCCGCAGACGCCCAGGCAGACGAAGCTGGCCTCGGGCGGGCGGAGGGACGTTGTTGCGGGCCTGGGCGCTGAGCTGAGAGGAAGCCGGAGAAGGACGCGGGGTCTAGTGCAGGACGGGAGGACACGGAATCGTCTCCCGGATCTGCAGGTCCCAGGGCAGGGACGGCGGCTTTTGTTTTAAATGAAGCTGCCGGTCTTCAGTCGGTGGACGGGGACCGTGGACGGTGTCCCGTCCCCAGAGAGCAAATAGTGGCGTCGCCTGCTGAAGACGGAGGGCGCTGCGCCCGCTTTCCAGTCTCCACGTGGGAGTGCACGAGTCTGCGCTGCCGGCAAGGACCGAGGAGCCCCAGGCGCTTCGCTGACGGGGCTGGGGCCGTGGACGTGGGTCCGATTAGGAATTAAGGCTCAGACGCAGCTGGAACGTTGCCTCGTTCGCCCAGAGGCAACGCGTTAGGCCAGGCGCGGTGGCTCACGCCTGGAATCCCAGCCCTTGGGGAGGTGGAGGCGGGTGGATCACCTGACGTCTGGAGTTCGAGACCAGCCTGACCCAACATGGCGAAACCCGGGCTCTACAAAAAAATACAAACATTCCCCGGGCGTGGTAATGCGGGACTGTGGTTCCAGCCACTCGGGAGGCTGAGGTGGGAGGATCAGCCGAGCCTGGAAGTTTGAGACTGCAGTGAGTCCTGGTGGTGCCATTGCACTCCAGCCTGGGCCACAGAGACCCTGCCTCAAAAAAACAAAAAAAGCAACCCATTAACATAATAGATTCCCAAGTCCCAAGTCTGAATACCTGTGGTTTGTCTGTTATCCTTTTTTTTCTTTTCTTTTCTTTTTTTTTTTTTTTTGACAGCACTCAACAGATGCTCTGTTGCCCAGGCTGGAGCACAGTTGCGGGATCACGGCTCCCTGCAGCCTTGAACCCCTGGGTTCCAGCAGTTCTCCTGCCTCAGCCTCCTGAGTAGCTGGTACTACAGGTGTGTGCCACCACACCTGGCTAATTTGTAAATTTTTCACAGGGACAGGGTCTCACTGTGTTATCCAGGCTGGTCTCAAGCTGGTCCCAAGCGATCCTCTCGCCTCAGCCTTCTAAAGTGCTGGGATTACAGGAATGAGCCACCACACCCAGCTTGGCAGGGTTTAAAGAAGCCACCAAAGGACAGTGCAGTGTCCCAGCACTGATGATGTCTGGGAGCCATTACACCTGTAGGCTTCAAGGGGTGGAGAGAGGGAGTGATTACAAGAAATTGAGAGGGCAACCTGCCAAAAGTGTGGCCTTAAGAGGGATTCAGGTCACCCACAGCAGTTGAGCAGGAAGGGGCCAAGGAGGGAGTACCCTGGCGTTGCTCTCCTCCAGCCCCCGGTATCCCACTGCTGCCTGCCATTGACTAAACCAGCAAGAATCCAGAGGGCAAGGAAGGCCTCTGATGCTGTTCTCAAGGGTCAGCCTCCGAGAGCACAGAGCAGATGGTGAATGATGGAGGGTAGATCTGGGGGGCAGAGAGAGGACACACACTGAGCACCTGCACTTGGACCATGGGGACCTGAGACCTACTCTGTATTTCCTTACCCAACCCAACTACCTTATCCTTTGATCAGGACATAATCAAAAACTGCTATATATTCTTCAGAGAATTACTGTGACTGGCTATAATGTGGGGTAATTATTGACATTACATGGCTTCCAAGTTTTAAAATAACCTAATTTTTGTGTAGTGGAAAACAGGTTCTAGGGCTACCTGTAGAACTTAGTAGCTGGTATGGTTTACAGCAAGTTAGTTTTCACAGGGCTGAAGGGATCAGTCCCCTAACCCTCCTAGGAAATACCAACTGTGAAAGCACCAGATACTGAAGCACTATATAAATATTAAATTAAAATATTTGCATGCCATATAGCTTCAAGTTGCCTTGAAATGAATGGGTTCACATTTATGTTCCGGTTCACAGCGCGAGTGTATCTCTATCCACGTGGGGCAGGCAGGTGTCCAGATCGGCAATGCCTGCTGGGAACTGTACTGCCTTGAACATGGAATTCAGCCCGATGGTCAGATGCCAAGTGATAAAACCATTGGAGGCGGGGATGACTCCTTCAACACGTTCTTCAGTGAGACTGGGGCTGGCAAGCATGTGCCCAGAGCAGTGTTTGTGGACCTGGAGCCCACTGTGGTCGGTAGGTGCCTGGGCACTGGATGGCAGCTTTCCTGAGAGGGTGGGAGAGCAGTGTTAAAGTCCCGCGTGGGTTCCTTTGAATCCTCCTGCCGAAAGGATGGGATGGACAGGCATATGCCCGTGGCGTTGTTAGGAGAGAAACTGAAAGGTTCGTGATGAAAGTGTCTGTGAGACGTGGCTCCTAATCTAGGAAAACCTGACCTACAGGGAAAAGCTGCTTTGCCAGCAGTAAGATGGGCTGTGGAGGGATTCCCTTGTGGCTGCCTCAGCCCTGCTCAGATGGCCCTGCCTGCAGGGTGCAGTAGCCTTGGTTCCCTCCTGAATGCTCTGCACTCTTTTATGCTGGTGCACGAGAGTCTTGACCTGCATCTTAGGCATAGAAGGTAAGTACAGAACAGTCATTTGCTTCCTTCAGAATAGCAGCCTGAGGTAGTTTCCAAAGACAGCTGCCAAGAGGCAGCACCTTTCAGTGGCCCCCTAGGAAATGACAGCATCACCTGAAAGCCTGTGAGACCCAGGTCATCCAGGGTGCCCTGATGGGACTGCCCTGCATAAGTCACACTGATCTGGTGACTTCCCAGGTTGTAAGAGTTTTTAACTTATAGCCTTTGCTGTAGCTACACGTAGGAAAGAATTATGTACCTGCGTAGGAGTGCAAGAGCTTATTTCCTTTCACTAGGAACTGGTCGTGCTGACATGTATACCACAAGCTGAGTGTAACTTCGTAAAGTCATAAATTGCATATGCAGTTTGGTTATCACACAGAGACATTGTCTACCAGATGCTGCCACTGTTGACCTATGACTTGTAGGTCATGTACTTTGACCAGCATGTACTCTGTAGAAGTGAACAGTCCTGGAATGTGTCCATCTTGGTGAGTACAGGCCTTAAAGATTCACAGCACACACTGTCTCTTTTGTAGATGAAGTGCGCACAGGGACCTACAGGCAGCTCTTCCACCCAGAGCAGCTGATCACTGGGAAAGAAGATGCAGCCAATAATTACGCCAGAGGCCATTACACCATCGGCAAGGAGATTGTTGACCTAGTCCTGGACCGGATCCGCAAACTGGTAAGAAGAGAAGGTTTCATGTGGCCATTGTCTTGCATGGGAGGGTAGTTCTTGGAAGGTGAAAGGGAGGTCATTTTATCAAAATTTAGATCAGCATGTTGGCCGGGCACGGTGACTCACACGTGTAATCCCAGCACTTTGGGAGGCTGAAGTGGGTGTATCACCTGAGGTCGGGAGTTTGAGACCAGCCTGGCCTACATGGTGAAACTCTATGTCTACTAAAAATACAAAAAATAGCTGGGTGTGGTGGTGCACATCCATACTCCCAGCTACTTGAGAGGCTGAGGCAGGAGAATTGCTTGAACCCGGGAGGCAGAGGTTGCAGTGAGCTGAGATTGCACCACTGCACTCCAGCCTGAGCAACAGAGCAAGATTCCATCACAAACAAGCAAACAAACAAAAACTTAGACCAGCATCTTGAGTCCTACTGAGTCTGCAATGGTGATTTGTCTGTAGATCTTTGTCTGCTTTTCTTTGCTTCAAAGTGTACTACGTGTTTATTATGGATGATTTGAATCCATATCAAATCTTCAGAGGCAAAGAGAAGTGGCCTTGGCTTGTTGGAGGTTGGTGGTGTGGCTTCCACGGCCATTGACTCATGTTGTCTGGTTTCTCTCAGGCGGATCTGTGCACGGGACTGCAGGGCTTCCTCATCTTCCACAGCTTTGGGGGCGGCACTGGCTCTGGGTTTGCATCTCTGCTCATGGAGCGGCTCTCAGTGGATTACGGCAAGAAGTCCAAGCTAGAGTTTGCCATTTACCCAGCCCCCCAGGTCTCCACGGCCGTGGTGGAGCCCTACAACTCCATCCTGACCACCCACACGACCCTGGAACATTCTGACTGCGCCTTCATGGTCGACAATGAAGCCATCTATGACATATGTCGGCGCAACCTGGACATCGAGCGTCCCACGTACACCAACCTCAATCGCCTGATTGGGCAGATCGTGTCCTCCATCACGGCCTCCCTGCGATTCGATGGGGCCCTGAATGTGGACTTGACGGAATTCCAGACCAACCTAGTGCCGTACCCCCGCATCCACTTCCCCCTGGCCACCTACGCCCCGGTCATCTCAGCCGAGAAGGCCTACCACGAGCAGCTGTCCGTGGCCGAGATCACCAATGCCTGCTTTGAGCCAGCCAATCAGATGGTCAAGTGTGACCCTCGCCATGGCAAGTACATGGCCTGCTGCATGTTGTACAGGGGGGACGTGGTCCCCAAAGACGTCAACGCGGCCATCGCCACCATCAAGACCAAGCGCACTATCCAGTTTGTGGATTGGTGCCCGACTGGATTTAAGGTATGACTGGGTGATGTGTAGGCCTTTCAGCAAGCAGCAGACGCACAAAATAACACTGTCCCTGAAGGCCCGCATCCTTTGGGGAGACTCTCCCTGTTCCATGGGCTAGGCATGTGGGCATAAAGTAGTGAACCAGAGTTGATAATTGATTCACTGATTTTTTTTTTTTTTTTTTGAGACTGTCTTGCTGTGTTGACCAGGCTGGAGTGCAGTGGTATGATCTCAGCTCACTGCAACCTCTGCCTCCCGGTTTTAAGCAATTCTCCGGCCTCACCCTCCCAAGTAGCTGGGATTACAGGTACCCGCCACCACACCCGGCTAATTTTTGTATTTTTAGTAGAGACGGGGTTTCACCATGTTGGCCAGGTTGGTCTTGAACTCCTGACCTCAGGCGATCTGCCCACCTCAGCCTCCCTAAGTGCTGGGATTACAGTTGTGAGCCACTGCGCCCAGCCCAGTGATGTCTTTTGAACTCTCTTTCTGAGTCATCACACTATATATCTGTGGTGAGATTTATTTATTTATTTATTTTTTGAGATAGGGTCTTGCTTTGTACCCCAGGCTGGAGTACAGTAGTGTGATCCTGGCTCACTGCAACCTCTGCCCTCAGGCTCAAGTGATTCTCTCACCTCAGCCTCCTGAGTAGCTGGGACCACAGACATGCACCACCATGCCCAGGAAATTTTTTTTTTTTTTTTTTTTTTTGAGGCAGTCTCGCTTTGTCACCCAGGTTGGAATGCAGTGGCACGATTTGGCTCACTGCATCCTCCACCTCCCAGGTTCAAGAACTTCTCTGCCTCTGCCTCCCAAGTAGCTGGGATTACAGGCACCTGCTAATTTTTGTATTTTTGGTAGAGATGGGATTTTGCCATGTTGGCCAGGCTGGTTTCGAACTCCTGGCCTCAGGTGATCCACCTGCCTTAGCCTCCCAACTGCTGGATTACAGGCATGAGCCACTGCACCCAGCTAATATTTGTATTTTTAGTAGAGATGGGGTTTCGCCATGTTGGCCAGGCTGGTCTCAAACCCCTGGCCTCACGTGATCTGCCCACCTCAGTCTCCCAAAGTGCTGGGGTCACAGGCTTAAGGCACCACACCTGGCCTGATGTTGTCATTTATAGAACAAGTGTGCTGATTCCTGCTCTAGTTGACCCTGTGCACTGCTGCCAGGACCTCAGGTCATGTTAATCCTGAGTTCTGAAACTTGGAATGCTTCCCCTTTGGTTACCACCTTGGAATGCCACCCCCTACTTAGGCAGGCACATGGACCACTTCGACCACTTCCTGATGCTGCGGTAGCAGCATTCATATGACTCTTGACCCATGATCAGCTACCTTTGCATATCCACAGTGGCTTGTTTTGTGGGTCAGAAGTGGGTATGATGTTCCTTGTGATAGCATGGGGAAGAGCTGTGTACTCTGAATCTATCTGGGTGGAAGAAGTTTAGCTACAGAATTTAATTGTAATCTACAAAGAAGACAAGCAGCATACATTTTCAGAGGGAAGACAGTCTTCACCTGGGCACCTATCACATGTCATAGGTACTAGGACACAGCCCTTCAGGTAGCCTAGGATCCCACCAGGGTGGCTACCTCCAAGGTTCCTGTCTCTGTTCTCCATCTGGGACTATCACCCTGCCTGGCGCAGAGAAGGGCTTAGTGACGTTTGGGAGGTGAACTGAGTATCCTCCTTGTCACCCACAGGGTGTCTTCTGTTTGAGGAAAAGTAGCTGCCATTTCTAGGTTTGATATAAGCTTCACAGACTGCTTTCTGTCCCTTCTCCGGCAGGTGGGCATTAACTACCAGCCCCCCACAGTGGTCCCCGGGGGAGACCTGGCCAAGGTGCAGCGGGCCGTGTGCATGCTGAGCAACACCACGGCCATCGCGGAAGCCTGGGCCCGCCTGGACCATAAGTTCGATCTCATGTATGCCAAGCGGGCCTTTGTGCACTGGTACGTGGGCGAAGGTATGGAAGAGGGAGAGTTCTCTGAGGCCCGAGAGGACCTAGCAGCTCTGGAGAAGGATTATTAAGAGGTGGGCATGGATTCCGTGGAAGCTGAGGCTGAAGAAGGCGAAGAATACTGAGGGGAGGGTGTGGTGAGTTCTCCCCTGCCACCCCCAGGATGGCTGCTTTCAAGTTGTTTGCAATTAAAGGTTCTGTACAAAACCAAGACCTCTGTGTGTCATGCAGCTTAGTTCTGCCTTACAGGAGCTGGTGGGACCCCAGAGACTGCATGGACAGCAGTGGGGTGCCAGCCTGCCCTGCTGGCGTGGGGTTGGGTGCAGCAGGACTGTACATACTTAAGCAGCTGCCACGGAAGTAAACTGACCAGGGGAAAACAGTGTTTCTTCAAAGCCAAGCGTTCAAAGTATAGATTTCCTAAATTCTAGGAAAGCAGAGTCAGGATTTTCAATTGAATTTGCGAGTTTTCGGGCTTCTTTATTAATGGGTCATGCTGACTGAAAGGAAGACACTAGAAGTGAAGTGTTGGAGGTCTGTGGATGGGGCTCGTCCGTGAAGTCTCTAAAGCTGTGGGTCAAATGTGTAAGGTCAGGACATTTTAGAGGGGGAAAGGGTATTAACCAAGTTCTGCACAGCATTCATGACCCACAGAAGGTCACAACACATCCATGCTGACCCCAGTGCTCCACCGTAACCTGGAGGGCAGCATTCGCCCTCTCTGCACACACACAACCACCCTGTCCCTCAGCACTGTCAGCTGTCTTGGTAGAAAACCTCCCATGAGGTGGGAGATCGAGACCATCCTGGCTAACACGGTGAAACCCCGTCTCTACTAAAAATACAACAAAGGCCGGGCGCGGTGGCTCACGCCTGTAATCCCAGCACTTTGGGAGGCCGAGGCGGGCGGATCACGAGGTCAGGAGATCGAGACCATCCTGGCTAACACGGTGAAACCCCGTCTCTACTAAAAATGCAAAAAATTAGCCGGGCGAGGCGGCGGGCGCCTGTAGTCCCAGCTACTCGGGAGGCTGAGGCAGGAGAATGGCGTGAACCCGGGAGGCGGAGCTTGCAGTGAGCCGAGATCGCGCCACTGCACTCCAGCCTGGGCGACAGAGCGAGACTCCGTCTCAAAAAAAAAAAAAAAAATACTACAAAATTAGCCAGGCGTGGTGGCGGGCACCTGTAGTCCCAGTTACTCAGGAGGCTGAGGCAGGAGAAAGGCGTGAACCCGGGAGGCGGAGCTTGCAGTGAGCTGAGATCACACCACTGCACTCCAGCCTGGGCAACAGAGACTCCGTCTCTTGAAAACAAACAAACAAAAACCTCCCACATTTCACTTCAAGTGAAGCTTGTTGACATCTGTTTATAAAAGACCTGGCAGTCCAGATACCTTTTCTTAGAACTCAAATTAGGTTCAGGAAGTTGACCCATGGTGAAGGGATCCCGTTAGTTTGCTGTGGCACAATTAAGACTGGCACAGAAAACTCAGTCTGTGCCTTAATATTAAAAAAAAAAAAAAAAAAAGGTAGAGAACGTCTGACCTGAACCCTCTGCATCTCAGAAAGGTTTATTATCAACTGAAGGAGATAACACGTAGCCTTTGCTGGGAACAAAGATGTGACAAGTCTCTGCCCCATCCTAGGTGCTGCCCCGCGTAGGGCTCTTCCCAGGCCCGCCTCCCTTGGGCAGTCTGGTAGCGCTGGGCTGGCGTGGCATCCTCTGGCTGGATCCTTCGCGGCTGCTGCGTTCCGCCAGGGCCAACGCTCCCCCGAGGGCAGTGCTGCCTTTGTTTCTCCCTGAGGAGACACAAAGCACGATGATTAGGAATGGGTGAGCCCCGTAACTGTAGCACCTGTGGTACTCGTGCTCCTTGGGCAACATTTGTGTCTACACATTTCCATCAAGGCTGCTTCAGCTAGAGGCTCTGCATCAGCCCCGGTCCTGAGACTCAGAACCACTAAAGACAGGTCATGCCCCAGAAGCCCTTGGCAGTGTGCAGGGGACCCTTTAGGATGTGTCCCAGGAGCAAAGCCATGCAAGGAGCACACTGCCAAGGGAACATTTTGAAAGGACACATGCCACGGGTCCATTTAGGGAAAAGTAGGTGCGGCTGGTGCACACCTGGCCTGGACAGCAAACCTAGTCTGCCCTGACGGTGCCATCAGCGGCAGCAGCAGCAGGGACACGCTGCCTCATCCTCAAGGTGCATTCATGCTGGACTGTACATCTGAGCTGCCCCAGATGGTGACGGACAGGAAGTACTGCAGTCACCAGGTCCTGGAATTGGGTTTCTGATTTTGATTTTGGAAGCTCTTTCATTGTTTCCTACCTACCCGAGTGTTGCGCAAACAGTGGTCAACCCTCTTGCTTTCGGGTTTAGCTGCCAGATTCCATGACAGGGTTCCTGCCACAGTCTGAATGTTTGAGACTTTCTGACCACCAGTGTCTTTCTCGGATGAAGACCACTGGTTCAGAGATTCTTTGATTTGTAATTTGCTTACTTTACACTTTAAGATAGCCAAGAAAGATCTGCAACCACACTTGGGCCAGAGCTTTATTTTAATGGGATGGATTTCCCTGGGCTCAGGGTGTTGACAGCATCAGCAAGACTGACTGAGAGGACCCTGCAAGGTACAAATGTACCCGGGTGGCAGGCTCGCCGTGCAGAGTGCCTTGGCCAGGGCTTTCCCCTGCTCTGGCCTGGCAGGGTCTGCCCCATGGGCTCTAAACAGGGCATGTGTCCCCTGCCTCAGTGTTGGGTCCCCCATTTCGTCCCTCCAGCGTTTCCTTTGTCCTGACTGAGGGAGTGCCTTGACCACTCTGACCTAATCAGCTACATGTTCCCCCTGCAGGCTGGAACTCTGGCTGGGGCTTGCATCTTCTCAGACACTGACACAGGTTTAGGTTGTTACCTGGAACACTGAAAGATCTGACATGTTGCTAAGCATGTGGAAACCGGTCCCACCCCAGCCAAATTCCTTGCACTGTCATAGAAACTCCACACCCCACCCCCTCAGTGCGGTGTGCCCAGGCACAACCTCTTTCCTGGCTGCCCCTCATGAGGGCACACTGCAGCCCCCTCTGTATGTAAGTTCCCTAACAAATGCTTTGGACTGACCACTCTGGCATTGTTTCTTCCTTTGGAATCCCAACTGGCTCTCATCCTGGAAAGGTTTGGGGCAGTCCCTTGCAGGAACTGCCCTGCCACCACTTTAGGGTGACTCCAGACAAGGGTTCAGCCAACAGAACGCCCAGCCTCAATCCTGGTCCTTCCCTGGCCTCTTAGCAAGTGTAGTCAAATAGCCTGCAATGGGAAACTGCATTCCTGGAGAAAAGATGTAACTGGGTGTTTAGGGATCCATTAGGTCATTTCTGTTTCACCATCTGTCACCTTGAACAAGCAGACTCCTGTGTCTGAGATGCCGAGGACCCTGGCTCTTCCAGAGGTACCTCTAGCTCCCTTCCGATGCTAATACCACAAAATTCTCCCCATGCCCTGCAGGGATAGGACAGCCCTCCTTATGAGTTTCTGGGCAGTTCTTCCTCAGAGAATGAGATCTTTGCTCATTCTTGCCTGGTGGCGGTGAGGGTTATAGCAGTGTCATGCTTGGAATAGCTTGGCACACTTGACTCAACAAAGATGGAGTCGGGGTTGCCCTGAGTCAAGGAGGAGCGCAGTCAAGAACACGTGGTGGGTGACGTTTGGCCACCTCAGCCCAGCAGTGACTCGTGAAAACGGCACAAAGCAGAGAACAGCCACCACGCGTCTCTTGTGGTACAAACTGCCATTATTCTAGTCTCCACTGACTGGTCAAGGGGTGAGGATTCTGTCTTCCATGAGCAGACAGGACCCGCCACCCTGCAGCAGCTCCCACTGGGCCAGCATCCTCCTGAGGCCACAGTCCCTCCGCAGGCCAGGCCAGACAGAGGCAGATCTTCTGTAGTCGCGGCCTAACCTGGGTGCCCATGTGCTCTCGAGGTTACTAATGCCTAGCTCCCCACAGCCAGCGGCATAGCAGGCTGCAGACCTGGGCCTGACTCAGAGCCGCCTTCCCTTCAGTTTGCCGCCATCTGAGTTTCCTCTCCTCCCCTCAGTAATGACCCGGTCCGTTCTGGAAACAAGGATGAGAGGGAAGCAGAAAAGAGCAAATGATGTTTTGTTGGTTTTTTTTTTTTTTTAAGTGGTGGCGGAGAGGGGTTTAGAGACTGAGTCTTGCTCTGTCACCCGGGCTAGAGTGCAGTGATGCAATCACAGTTCATTGCTGCCCCAAACTCATGCGAAGTAGCTGGGACGACAAGCATGGGGCCACACCTGGCTAATAATACTTATCTTTAAATCTGACAGGGTTGACAAACCCTGTAAATGTGAAACCAACATAACTTTAAGCCATAATTGGTATTAAGAAAATCCTGGAAATCTTCAGGAATTGTGTGCTCTCGGGGTTAGTGGGGAGCCCTGTTCAGGCCTCCTCAGTTTATGAAGGATGAGAAGGCCCAGAATAGAGTGGCCTGCAGTGCCGTGCAGTGGGAAAACCAGCTTGGCTTAGCCCTGCTCCCTCGGGAGGCGCCGCTAAATCACACGGGCTAGACAGTGGGATTGAACCAAGTGTGCCTGTGGTTGGGGTGTGAGGGCGGGGTGACTGATGCCCCTAGGCCTGGTCCCTGGAGGGCCCTCCTAAGCCCAAAGATAGTCAATGACCATTGAATGTTAAAACCAGCCTGGCTCAGCAGGGGTCAGTGGCTCACGCCTGTAATTCCAGTACTTTGGGAGGCCAAGACGGGTACTTTGAGGCCAGGAGCTAGAGACCAGCTGGGCCAACACAGTGAGACCTCCATCTCTACAAAAAAATCAAAAAATTAGTCAGGTGTGGCAGTGTGCACCTGTAGTCCCAGCTACTCAAGAGGAGGTGGGAGGACTGCCTGAACCCAGGAGGTTGAGGCTGCAATGAGCTATGAGTGCACCACTGCACTCCAGCCTAGGTGACAGAGACTCTGTCTCAAAAACAAATAAGTAGTAAAGAAAATGCAGAATTAGCTCAAATACTGTAATCAATCTAAAATATCCAACGTATTATTTCAATATGTAATCAGTGCATAAGTTATTCATAAGATGTTGCATTCACCTTTGTTCTTTTTCTTGTTTGTAGAGATGGGTGGGGTCTTGCCGTTGCTCAGGCTGGTTTCAAACTCTGAGCTTCAAGTGATGCTCCTGCCTCAGCCTCCCAAAGTGTTGGGATTACAGGTGTGAACCAATGCCCAGCCTCATTCACCTGGGGTTTTTTGTTTATTTTTGAGACAGGGTCTCACTCTCTCACCCAGGCTGGAGTGCGGTGGTGCAGTCACAGCTCACTGCAACCTCAACCTCCCAGGCTCAAGTTATCCTCCAGCCTCAGCCTCCCAAGCAGCTGGAACTACAGATGTGTGCCACCATGCCCTGCTAATTTTTGTATTTTTTGTAGAGATTGGGTCTCCCCGTGTTGTCCTGGCTGGTCCTGAACTGCTGAGCTCAAGAGATCCAGCAGCCTCGGCCTCCCAAGGTGTGGTGGGCTTTTTGCATTCCCTTTTGCACCAGTCCTTTGGCATCTGCTGTGCATAACACACGCAGTGCAATGACCACACCAGCCATGTGTGGCTTGAGGTTCCTGTCTCAGGCAGCACAGCTCAGGTGAGACTCACGGCTTCCACACTCCAAAGTGTCATCTTACGTGCATGCTCTGGACAACTTTTAAAATGCATAGTTTCCCTAAACTTCAATAGAATGCTTGACTGAATTTATTTTTCCCTCAGTGACTCCAGACTCTTACCAAGACAAGCATCACCCTTCCGTGCTTCTGGGGTCTTCTGTTTCCCCTGCCCTGTGGGTGTGAGTGAATTTGGTGGTGGTGGTTCCCCCAGGCGGTCTGGATGGCTAGGGAACAGGCATCCAGAGGACCCAGGGTGCCTGCTGCAGCTCAGAGGCAAGCTCGCGTGGGCCTGGCCCACAGCCTGCAGAACTCCACACCCGAGTCCTGTGGGAAATCCGTGGCCTCCATGCCCCCCAGCCGGATCACTCTGACAACCCCCTTATGTCCTCCACCTGATTCTGCCGTTACCAGGGCAGTCGGAGCTCCGTGTGGTCAGATGCTGTAACATGTGGGCCTCAGAGAGCTTCAGCATTCCATCTGTGGCCTCTGCCTCTCACTCAGCACTCCTGGTGTGGCCCCATTCCCTTCCACCCCCTCCTCAGGCTCCACTCTATCCCCACGGGGCCTCCGTGCCCTCATGTCCTGGCTTTCTGCCCCCAGCCTATAGGACCGGACCTGGGCTATGCTTCCAGGACAGAGTCCTGGAGGAACAAAAGACCCCGAGGGGCCCAGCACTCCAGGCCACTCCTGTCCTTGGGTAAATTCTCTTGGAGCCCCCACTCGCTCACATGGCACCCCCAATCCTCCCGGCCCCTTTATGCCTGCATTTCCAGTGCCACAACCCCCACGTACATCTTGACTGTCCCCCTACCTCCCTCCTCCCACCCTGGGCCTAGCAGCACCTGCACAGCACTCTGCCTCACCCACCCCCTCCCACTGCCACAGCTCACACCTGTGGAGCTCTGCTGACCCCCGCCGCCTCCTGCTCTGCCCCATGTAACCCTTGCTGCTCTCTGGGCTCTGAAGCCTCCTCCCATCTCCATTGCTAGTGGTTTTTCTTTTCTTTTTTTGTTTTTTTTTTTTTTTTGAGACAGGGTCTTGCTCTGTTGCCCAGGCTGGAGTCCAGTTACAAGCTCTTAGCTCACTGCAACATCTCCCTCAGGCTCAGGCGATCCTCCCATGTCAGCCTCCCAAGTAGCTGGGACTATAGACGGGCACCACCACCATGCCTGCCTGGCTAGTTTTTTTTTTTTTTTTTGAGGAGTCTTGCTCTGTAGCCCAGGCTGGAGTGCAGTGGTGTGATCATGGCTCACTGCAAGCTCCGCCTCTCGGGTTCACACCATTCTCTTGCCTCAGTCTCCTGAGTAGCTGGGACTACAGGCGCCCGCTACCATGCCCAGCTAATTTTTTTTTTTTTTTATTTTTAATAGAGACGGGGTTTCACCGTGTTAGCCATGATGGTCTCAATCTCCTGACCTCATGATCCGCCCGCCTCGGCCTCCCAAAGTGCTGGGATTACAAGTGTGAGCCACTGCGCCCGGCCCTGCCTGGCTAGTTTTTGTATTTTTTGTAGAGATGGGGTCTTGTTATGTTGCCTAGGCTGGTCCTGAACTCCTGAGCTTAAGGGATCTACCTGCCTTGACTTCCCAAAGTGCTGGGATTACAGGTGTAAGCCACTACGCTGGTCTTGCTGGCAGTTTTCCTCACTGCCTCTCACTGAACTGAGTGTGACCATCTCACTTCCCTGCCACGCCCTCTGCCCTGAGAGCTGGGCCTGGCACCCAGGGCCCCTGAGTGAGCAGCAACATCCCCTGGAGTGACAAGGACTCTGTTCCCAGTTTCCCTCCTGCTGGAAATCTGCCCCTCAATTGCTCATCTCAGCCTGCAGTCCCTACACCCCTACTCCAGGCCTGTCCCTCAGCCCCCTCCACCCTCCCTTGGGCCTGAGCTCTGGGTGGCAGTGAGGTGGGCGCTGTCGGGAGGCACATGCAGGAGGTGTGACCAAAGACCCCTGGGCTCTCACAGGCCCCTGGCTCTGGGCCCCTGATCACACCTGGTGACACCTGGAAAGTGGCCCCAACTCAGGAGTGAGGTGGGCAAGGGGGCTGAGTGCTGGAGTGTGGCCATGGGACCAGCACATGGCATCCGTGTGAGATGGCATCCCAGGAGACTCGGGGAAGGTGGGACTCTCTGTTTCAGCCTCCAGACTTCCTGTCCGGGTAGGGGGCAACTTCTAAGAGGCCGAGGTGACAAGCACAGCAGTCGTGGCTGTGCTCTCCAGCACAGCACACCGCACCCTGGCCAGCTGTCCTCCCCTGGAGCAGGGCTCTTTACACTCACCACAGTTCGCCTCTGGAGTGTGGGGGTGTTGGTCCTGTCCCCGGATGCCAGCCCGACTGTGGGGTCTAGAGACTGTCATACCATGTCTCTAACAAACCGAATCAGAAATCCTGCCCTGTTGCTAAGTGGCAGGGCAGCGGTGGCCTGCATGGTCCTGCCCTTGCAGCTCAAAGCTGCTTGGGCCTCCTGGGGCCAGGCAGTTTAAATGGAAACAAGGGAGAGCACCAACCCCCAGAGATAAGCCAATAAACGCAACCTGCAAAAGGAGAGAACAGGCAGCAAGAGAAGCGGAGGGAACCCGGGGGGCCTGGAGAGAGAGGCGAGTGTGCAGCAGCCAGGCTGTGGAGCAGAACGGGAGAGGCCGAAGGCTGCGGGCTGGAGAAAAAGGAGGAACTTGCTGGGGGGCTACTGTTCCTGGCAGAGAGAAAGGAGGCCTCTGGAGGTCAGAGAGAGACACAAAGAGAGCAGACAGAGCGAGGGTCAGTGAAAAGGCCAGCACACAGGTGCCCGGGCCCTCTTGGGTCAGGGGGCGTGGGTGCCCAGGCCCTGGCGCTCCCCCCATGAAGGCAGCCTGCTCCCCACGCCTTCTCAGGATGCCTGCGCGGGTATCCTGGCGCTTCCAGGCAGGGAGCCAGCTCTGGGCCTTCTTCCATTGGCCTGGGACGCTGTGCCGCATTTCAGAGAGAGCCATCAGGAGCAGAAGCAACATGCGGGGAGGATGAGCAGGGACCGAAGCTCCACCATGACAAATCTTGGCCTCAGCATCTGCTGGTCAGCCCCAGTCACCATGCTGGACAGAGGAGGCCCTTCAGGCCCCACAGGCCTCTGCCCCCTGGGAGTTCTGCCTCTGACTCCCGTCCTGCAATCCTCAGAGGGAAGCTGGCCAGGGCTGGCCAAGCCCCTGCGCAGGAACGGGGCCTAGGTGGGGTGCAGGCAGGAAGACCTCCGCCTGCCCCGCTCCCTGGGCACTTCCCCGGATGCTGTATACCGCAGGACAGGGATCGAGACTGTCTTTTGAAAAACATATTTAGAGACAGGATCTCACCCTGTCACCCAGACTGGTCTCAAACTCATGGCCTCAAATGATCCTCCCGCTGTGGCGTCCCAAAGTGCTGGGATTATGGGTGTGAGCCACGGCGCCCAGCCCCAAACCTTCTGGATTCTGGACTTTATAAGATGAAGGCCTGAGTGAAGAGGTGGCGAGGAGCTAAGCAGAGGAGCCCTACCCAGCCTGGACCACCCTGGGGCACGCACTCTGCGTCCACCTGACCTGGACGTGCCTCCTAAGGCTGGTAGCGAAGCCCAGGAGCAGAGCCCACGGATGGGCCCTGCAGGTGCTGGGCCGAGACCGACAGACAGGCCTGGCCACTCAGGGCCACGCCGCCGCTGTTCCGCACCTGCCCCCTCCCCGCCCGCCACCCCCGCCACTGGGGCAGGGACAGCGGGCCCAGGTCTGACCTCGGGTCTCGGGCACTGTCGACGTGGGCAGAGACACGGCCGCAGGGTCCTGGGGCTCGCTCGCTAGCCTCTGCCCGGCACACATGGACTTGAGCATCTGGAAGACGGCGAGGGGGGCCACGTTCAGCTTCAGCAGGTCCACCAGGGTCCTGGCAGGGACAGACGCCGGGCCGGTGAGCCCTGCCCGCCCGGCGCGGACCCGGGCCCCTCCCTGAAGACCCGACAAGGACGGGGACAGGGGCGCGGGGGGCTCCTCCCGACCAGTGGGACCGGGGGACCCGGAGAGCAGAGGTCGGGGTGTCTGGCGAGGATGCGGCCCCCTCCCGCCCCGCTCACTTGAACACGTCGGGGTCAATGGCGCCGCCCGCCGCCTGCGCCAGCTCGTACAGCTCCATCTCCTCGGTGCTCAGCACCTTCTTCCGCCGCAGCACCAGCTTCTGCCGGGCCGCCTCCAACCCCGCGGGCGCCCCGGACCCCGGCCCAGGCCCTGCGCCCGGCGCCGCCATCCGCTCGGCCCGAGAAAAGGTGCGCCCCCGCCGCGCCCCCTAGCGGCTCCGCCCACCGCGCTCTCCCTGCAGCGCCAGCGTCCTGCCTCCCAGGCGGCCCCGGCGGGAGCGGCGGGAGCGGCGGGAGCGGCGGGAGGGAGGGCCGGGGACGCGGCCGCCTCCGCGGCGTTATTGGAATCTAACAGTTACTGGGCGCTCCAAGTGTGCTGAGCGGCGCGCTAGGGGTCGGGGGTGGCATGGCGGACTGCAGGGGCCCGCTGCTTGGCGGTCAGGGCCTCCCTGATAGACTGCATTGATCGTGCTCGCTTAGGTGGCAGCACCCGGCCCAGTGCTAGGCATACATTGGGCGCTCAGTAAATGCCTCTTACAAGAAAGTGTGCAATTTTCTGGTCCGCGCCGGTGCACCGCTAGGGGTCGCTCCTCGCTGGGGGAGGGGGGGGCACTAATCAATGACCTGTTTACGCGCACGCGCATTCCTTGCGGGGGAGAAATTGCGTGAGCCCTACCTCGAGGCGCCGGAGGCCACCACAACGCAGGCGCATTCAGCTGCGGACCACCCCCTCCCCCCGCACTCCTGCCTCGCCACTTCCCGTCCTCGCCCGGCAGGCCTTCGCTTTGCGCACGCGCCGTGTGAGGTAACGGCCCAGAGAAGAAGAGACACTTTTCCCGCCCGGCTGCGGGGCGTGGCTCTGCGCGCAGCTTGATGACGAAGTTTCGGCGCCGTGGCGGAATGGCGGCTTCTACCTCTGAGGCTGGCGACGCTATGGGTCCCACAGGTGAGTGGGGCGGGACGCGCGCGTGAGACAGTCCGGCGCCCTGGGGCCTTCCCCGAGCCGCTGCGGAGGCCATGTCCGTACCTCCGCGAGCCCCAGGACTCTGGCCGGCCTGGCGGCTTTGCCCAGGCCGGGCAGGCGGGGCAGTGGAGAGCCCCGGCTGTGTCTTCCTGCCACCCCCCTGGGCCATGCCTTTGTGTCACCTTCCCTCGCGGCTCCTGCACTCTGTCCTAGTCCGGTAGGTGTTCGTTGAAAGTTAACTTTCCTTGAAGGAATTGAGGGAAGGAGAGCTTTGTGTTGAAGTTGAGCCTTGGGCTTAACAGGTGGTGTGGGAGGAACAGCCAGGTGTGGGTCCCAGCTCGACCCTTCCCATGGTGCTCGACTTCTCCCAGCCTTGGTTTCGGAGGGTCCCGAAGCCCAGTTGGCGGGAGAGTTGGGAACAGGTGGGCGCGTGCTGCTGAGGGAGATCTTGGCCTGACAGAATTTGCTTGGAATGATTGGCATTGCCCAAGGGTTGTCGCTCTCAGGAAAACAAAACAAAAAAGACAGGGTCCGAAGCAGCTCCTGGAGAAAATAGGTGTTGGAGAGGCGCGATGAAGCGGACGCTAGATGCATGGCAGGCAGAGACCTGTGACGGGGGAGGGTGACTATGGCAGGGTCAGAGAACGGGGTGTGGGAGACACTTCTTGGGAATTCCCGGGTTGGAATATCCTCTCTTGGAAATTTCCTAGAAATTCTTCTGGGCCTTATTCTTTCAGTCGCTGCCCATGAAAGCTTCTTCTGAGCAGAGATGCTCTCCACTTCATCATCCGCTAGAGCTCCGCGCTTATCCAACAGTCCACAGCTGCTTTGATCATTTTGCAGTAGTGCAGTGTTTTCTTGATCAAGTGCCTTAGGACTGAGGCGTTTTTCTTTAACACTGCAATTGATAGCTAGGTTAAGAATTGAGGCCGGGCTCGGTGGCTCACACCTGTAATCCCAGCACTTTGGGAGACCGACGCGGGTGGATCACGAGGTCAGAAGTTCAAGACCAGCCTGGCCAAGATGGTGAAACCTCGTCTCTACTAAAAAATACAAAAATTAGCCGGGCGTGGTAGTGGGCGCCTGTAATCCCAGCTACTTGGGTGGCTGAGGCAGAGAATTGCTTGAACCCGGGAGGCGGAGGTTGCAGTGAGCTGAGATCACGCCACTGCACTCCAGCCTGGGTGACAGAGCGCAGAGGGAGACTCTGTGTCAAAAAAACAAAAAAAAGAAAAGAAAAAAAGCGGCGGGGCACGGTGGCTCACGTCTGTAATCCCAGCACTTTGGGAGGCCAAGGCGGCTGGATCACGAGGTCAGGAGTTCGAGACCAGTCTGGCCAACATAGTGAAACCCCGTCTTGACTAAAAATACAAAAATTAACTGGGTGTGATGGCATGTGCCTGTAATCCCAACTACTCTGGAGGCTGAGACAGGAGAATTGCTTGAACCAGGGAGTTGGAGGTTGCAGTGAGCCGAGATCACGCCAGGGGACTCCAGCTTGGCCACGGAGCGAGACTCCATCTCAAAAAAGAATTGAAAAAGCCTGCACTTTGGGAGGCGGAGGCAGTGGATCACTTGAGGTCAGGAATTTGAGATTAACCTGGCCACCATAGGGAAACCCGCCTCTACTAAAAATAGAAAAATTAGCCAACCTTGGTGGCAGGCTCCTGTAATCCCAGCTACTCGGGAGGCTGAGGCACTAGAACCTTTTGAACTTTGGAGGTGGAGGTTGCAGTGAGATGATGGAGTGAGACTGTCAAAAATAAAATAAAATAAAATAAAGGCCGGTGCAGTGGCTGACGCCTGTAATCCCACCGCTTTGGGAGACCGAGGCGGGCAGGTCATGAGGTCAGGAGATTGAGACCATCCTGGCTAACACGGTGAAACCCAGTCTCTACTAAAAATACAAAAAAATTAGCTGGGCGTAGTGGCGGGGGGCTGGGGTTCCAGCTACTCGGGAGGGTGGGGGAGGAGAATGGGGAGAACCCGGGAGGCGGAGCTTGCAGTGAGCTGAGATCAGGCCACTGGACTACAGCCTGGGCGACAGAGTGAGACTCTGTCTCAAAAAAAAAAAAAAAAAAAAGAAATTGAAAAATCTTGGGAGATATTCCTATTGCCAAGTGGCACAAAGGCAGAGATTCCTCTCTCCTCTCACACTGCAACTGCCTACATGGCCTCTTTACACCCAGCCTTTCTTCCTCCACAGACTGCCAGGTGCCACCCCAGTGCCTTTACTTGTGCAGTGGGCAGAGCTGGGCCAGGAAAACTGTAACTAGCCCACCAGTGGGACTTGGCAGACTTCCTGTCTGTGAAGTCTAGATCTGAGCATTTTTCATGTCTGACCTCAGTGGGCTGAGAGGTGGGAATTTGGAAAGCTGGTCTTAGTTTTCTTTCTTTTTTTTTTCATTTTTTGAGACAGAGTTTCCCTCTGTCACCCCGGCTAGGGTGCAGTGATGCGATCTTGGCTCACTGCAACCTCCGCCTCCTGGTCTCAAGCATTTCTCATGCCTCAGCCTCCCGAGTTGCTGGGACTACAGGTGCCCACCACCACACCTGGCTAATTTTTGTATTTTTAGTAGAGATGGGGTTTTGCCATGTTGGCCAGACTTGTCTCCAGCTCCTGGCCTCAAGTAATGTGCCCACCGTGGCCTCCCAAAGTGCTGGGATTACAGGCATGAGCCACGGTGCCCAGCCTTTGATCCTAGTTTTCTGATGGTTTATTCGAAGGCTCCCTTGGCAGAGCTTGCTCTTAGCCTCCATTCATTGCATAGCGCACAGGTAATATGGAGGGGATTTGCCCCTGTCTCAGAGTTTTGTGAGGCGGTCTTTGTATTGGAATCTTGGTTCTGCCACTTAGTAGCTGGGTGGGGGTGAGTGAGTTATCCCATATCTGCCTCTCCTTCATCATCTGTACTGACCTGCAGTCATAGTACATCTGTACCCATAGGGTTGTTGTGAGGATGGTTTTTCTGTTCTTGTATGACGAACTTAGCAGCTTAAACCAGCACCCGTTATTATCTCATAGTTATGTATGCAGAAGTCCAGGCAGGCTCAGCTGTGCATTACAAGACTAAAATCAAGGTGTTGGCAGCTTTGCTCTTACCTGGAAACTCTAGGGAAGAAGCTGCTTCCAGGTTTATTTGGGTTACTGGTAGAATCCAGTTCTTTGGAGTTGTAGAACCTAGGGTCTTTGTTTCCTTGCTGGCTGTCAGCTGGGGACTACTCTGTAACTTCAGGTCCACTAACTTAAGACTCTAATTGTATGTGCAAAATGCCGTCACAGCAGCACCTAGATGAGTATTTGATTGAACAAACGGGTCAGGAATCTTGGGCTGCTATCTTTAGAATTTTGCTTACCACTGAGGATTAAATGAGGAGATATAGAGAGAGCACTTAGAGTGAGTCCTGGTATATGACAAATGCTGTACGAGCATTACCAAGAATTCAGCACCACAACTTGGCTCTGAAGCTGGCCACTGTGGGCTGCAGAACAGTGTTTCTTTTTTTTTTTTTTTTGAGACGGAGTCTTGCTCAGCCTCCCAGGCTGGAGTGCAGTGGTGTGAGCTCAGCTCACTGCAACCACCTTCTCTCGGGTTCAAGTGATTCTCTGGTCTCAGCCTCCTGAATAGCTGGGATTATAGGCACCTGCCATCATGCCTGGCTAATTTTTGTATTTTCGTAGAGACAGGGTTTCACCATGCTGGGCAGGCTGGTCTTGAACTCCTGACCTCAGGTGATCCTCCCGCCTCAGCCTCCCAAAGTACTAGGATTACAGGCAGGAGCCACTGCACCCAGCTGAGAACAGCATTTCCATAAAAGATGGGAATTGCTGGCCGGGCGTGGTGGCTCACACCTGTAATCCCAGCGCTTTGGGAGGCTGAGGTGGATAGATCACTTGAGTCTGGGAGTTCAAGAGCAGTCTGAGCAACATGATGAAACCCCCATCTTTACAAAAAGTACAAAAATTAGCTGGGCTTGGTGATGTTTGCCTGCAGTCCCTGCTAGTTGGGAAGCTGACGCAGGAGGATTACTTGAGCTCAGGAATTTGAGGTTGCAATGAGCTATGATCACACCACTGTACTGCAGCCTGAGCGACCAAGCAAGACCCTGTCTCTAATCAATAAATAAGACATGAGAATTGGTAATGTAATGTGTGTTGCATTACACAGATATTCTCCTGGGCATTGTGAAACTATGTAATATTTTATTAGGGCCAGGTGCAGTGACACACCTGTAACCCCAACACTTAGGAGGCCAAAGCAGGAGGATCAGTGGAGGCCAGGATCCTGGGCATCATAGCCTGACAAACTAGCCTGGGCAACATAGTGAGACCCTGTCTCTAAAAAGAGAAAAGAAGAAAATTAGCCGGGCATAGTGGCATGTGCCTGTACTCAGAAGCCTGAGGTGGGAGGATTGCTTGAACCCGGGAGTTTGAGGTTGCAGTCAGCTATGATTGTGCTGCCGCATTCTAGCCTGGGCAACAGAATGAGACCCTGTCTCTCAAAAACTAGTATAAGAAGATTCTGCTGTGTTGCAGATGTTGAGATTTTTGTCCTTGTTTTTCCACAGTGGCTTGCTAAGAAGCCCGTTTTCAACTCTCCACTGGAGGCTGCTATGGCGTTCCCTCACCTCCAGCAGCCCAGCTTTCTACTGGTAAGTATCAGCTGCTTGCATGAGTGTCAATGTGGCCATAGTTCTGTAGCTGTGGGACTTGAGTGTTCTTCCCACTGACTTGAAGAACTCTGTAGTGGTTGTTTTTTAGGGGCATGTGATGGAAACAATGCCAGACTCCTTAAGCTTGACTGTGCCTCCTTATTACTACAGGACCTTGGGGTTACGCACCCTCTGTGCTCTGGGTTTTCTCATACAAGACAAGTTCATTCAAATTCTATTTTCTCTACTTCCCAAGGGTATGAGGAGGAGGAGGAGCAAGTGAGGAGGATGCATATCAGAATGTTCATGACCTGTAAATCCTTCTGCATACATGAAGCCGTTCTAGTAATCATAACTATCATCAGTGACAAATGGAGAGGCACTGCTGTGTTGGGGCAGCTAGGTTTGCACTTTAAGTATTAAACATGATGCTGAGAACTGGTTACAGTAGCTCATGCCTGGAGTTCCAGCTACTGAGGAGACTGATGCAGGAAGATTACTTGAGCCCAAGAGTTTGAGACCAGCGTGGGCAACATGGTAGACTCAAAAAGAACAGAAAAAAAATGATACTGAGAAGTGAGAAGTTAGGTATGAGGTAAGTATTGGCGATGAAAGTTCCTAATTTTAGTTCTTCAGAGGTGTTTTTGTAAACATTTATGTGGAAGGACATTCTTCCTCAGTGCACCCCACTAGAGTCAGCAGGTCTGGCCCATGGCTCAGGTCTCTCTCAAGTGCTGTGAAATCCACCCTCATTTGGAGGTAGACAAGGCCTTAGATGTCCTTTGGCAGAGCTCTCTAGGTTGAAATTCTAGCCGTTTCTCCTGATCTTAATCTATTTGCACAGATGCCCTTTTTCTCCTTGTAGTCAGGGTGCTTTCCTCACATGCTATGACTAGGTAGATTTCATTAGTCCTTGTCCTGAGTCTTTTCTGGTCTCTCCATTGCCTTCATGATTAGTGTCTACTTGGCTGAAGCCATCTATAATTTTTGTCTGCCCTGTGTGTTAAGATAATTAGTTTAGTGGATTTACTGTCTACTAAATAAAGAACAGCTCATTTAAGAGAGCTTCTGCCATATCCCTAATGTTATTGGGCGTTCTTATTGGTGATCACAATGGTGTCATCATGGTGGTCCATCAGGTTGGAAATTTCCAGTTGATGTGTACAAACTCAGTGGTACTCTGGTTTGTAAGGGGTGCCCTTACACAATCAAGATCCTCTTCTGGCTCTGGGACTGGCTCTGGGGCCAGCCCTGCTTAAGAATTGGCAGAAGTCAGTCCCCTTACACAATCTAGATCCTCTTCTGGCTCTGGGGCCAGCCCTGCTTAAGGATTGGCAGAAGTCAGTCCTGTTCTGACCATGTGCAGCCCTCTGAGGGGCACTGGGAAACAAGCCCGACAGTTCCGGGTCCAGAGAGCATCGAACTGTGGCCTCTCCTAGTAGGACTCTTTGGGCCACTGATGCACATGAGAGGCTGGGGAAGCAGGCCAGTGATTATGTGTCTGACTCAACCTATTGCTTGGATTTCTATTTGACTCAAGCCAGAGTATCACGAAAAGCTGCAGAGTGAATGTCCTCGTGATTTTTTTGCTTTGTTCTATCTCCTAGGCTAGCCTGAAAGCTGACTCTATAAATAAGCCCTTTGCACAGCAATGCCAAGACTTGGTTAAAGTCATTGAGGATTTTCCAGCAAAGGTACAGCTCTGCTAATGTCTCTCTTTGGAGCATGTCTTATACATTCCTTGAAGAACTTTATTATAATTCCTAATTTCCCTCCCTGCCCCAACCCCAAGCACTGCCTGGCACAGAGTGCTGGCCCTTATCATGACCATTATGTTATAGACGCATTTAAACATGTGAACTTATAGATCAGGGGTTCTCAGCCACAGGTGCTCTGTCCCTCAGGGGACACTTGGCAATGTCAGAGACATTTTTGGTTGTCACATCTGGAGGTAGATGGGGAGTGTGTGCTACTGGCATCTAGGAAGTAGAGGCCGGGGTTGCTGGAAACATCCTGCAAAGCACAGGACAGCTCCCTGTGGCAAAGAAGTATCTAGCCCAAAATGTCAATAGCACCAAGGTTGAGGAACCCTGATGTAAATGCAAAAATATGTATTTAAATCACACCTGGAATTGTCAAGCCCAGGAAGCCGGCCTAGGCAAGGAGTTCGTACCAAATGGCAATAGGTCAGTTCGGTTTTAGGGGTTTCACTCTGGGAAGGATGTTGCTTTCCTTTCTGATAGAGCGTCCTTCAAGTCAAAAGTTTCCAACACTTTCTAAAGAATCTTTTGGGGTGGTGACTCATGCCTGTAATCGCAACACTTTGGTAGGCCGAGGTGGGAGGATCTCTTAAGTCCAGGAGCTCAAAACCAGTCTAGGAACATACTGAGAACCTATCTCTACAAGAAATTTAAAAATTAGCTGAGTGTGGTGGTGTGTGCCTACTCAGGACGCTGAGGTGGGAGGATTGCTGGAGCCCAGGAAGTCAAGGCTGCAGTGAGCCATGATTGCATCACTGCACTCCAGCCAGGGCAACAGAGTGAGACCTTGTCTCAAAACATATGTATTTTATTTATTTATTTTATTTTATTTTTAATTTTCTTCATTGTTTGTTTATTTTTTGTTTTTTTCTTAATTTAGTCTTGTATCACACACACAAAATGTGTTTTGATCAGAGGCTGACTTACTTAACTGGCCCAAGTCTAAAGCGGGGCTGCTTGGTATGCCACGTACCCCACTGGAAGAACCCAAAGCTGCTCTTGTTGTTGGCACCAGGATTCCTTTGGGTGCAGGACTGATCCCATAGGTCTCAGCCAGGGAGTGGCCTCCTCAGGGGGAGCTAGGCAGCAGGTAGTGCAGGACTAGAGCTGCGGCAGGAGTGGGTGCTGGTCCTGCCCGCAGCCTCACCACACATTGTTTCAGGAGCTGCACACCATCTTCCCATGGCTGGTAGAGAGCATTTTTGGCAGCCTAGATGGTGTCCTCATTGGCTGGAACCTCCGCTGCTTACAAGGGCGTGTGAATCCTGTGGAGTACAGCATCGTGATGGAATTTCTTGACCCTGGGTAGGTAGATTTGTCACTGGAGAGAGGCTGGGTGATTCCTCATGGTGATTCCACCTTTAAACCACTCTCTGAATTTTTTATGATTGAGAAGCAATCAAAGCAGGATAATTTGCAGCTCATTTGCTTTTTTGTGTGTTTGTTCAATTTCATGTTCAGTGGCCCAATGATGAAGTTGGTTTATAAGCTTCAAGCTGAAGACTATAAGTTTGACTTTCCTGTCTCCTACCTGCCTGTAAGTAAACCACAGTGGCGAGAGTGGTGCTCGGGGCAGTGGGCCTTGCACAGCCCTGTGGTGATGGGCAATCTCCTCCAGTCCTCTGAGGGCAAATTGAGGAGTGATTTGGTCCCGGGGTATGAGAGGCAAAGGAAATGGGTATTGCATGGCTGCTACCCTTGCTGTCTGTAGCTTTTTATGAGATGGTAGGAGAAGTTCTAAGCAAAGACTCTTGTTCAGGCACTGCTGAGAGGCAGGGCACTGTCCCCACAGATGGGTTCTGTGTGTGGGTCTCTTCCCCAGTGGCCTTCCCAAAGTGCTGCTGTGCATGTGGGGCACTGCGTATTGGGCACTGCGCACCAGCACCTGCCCACAAGCCTCACTGCCTCTCTCTGCAGGGTCCTGTGAAGGCGTCCATCCAGGAGTGCATCCTCCCTGACAGTCCCCTGTACCACAACAAGGTCCAGTTCACCCCTACTGGGGGCCTTGGCCTGAACCTGGCCCTGAGTATCCTTTGGTGGCCCTGAGGTAGGGAGGCTGTGGGTGGCCCAGCACTTGACACTGTGGGGGTTGCTCATCAACCCTGCTTGTTTGCCCCTGACGCTGCCCTCAGATCCGTTCGAGTATTACATATTCTTCTTTGCCCTGAGCCTCATCACTCAAAAGGTAGGGAAGAGATGCCTTTAGCTGGGAGAGGTGGGACCATGGCCCAGGGCTTCCCTGCACTTGTTGGCCAGGCAGCGTCCGGAGCCCATGCTAACAACTAGCTTGGTTTTCCAGCCACTCCCTGTGTCCCTCCACGTCCGTACTTCAGACTGTGCCTATTTCATCCTGGTGGACAGGTACCTGTCGTGGTTCCTGCCCACCGAAGGCAGTGTGCCCCCGCCACTCTCCTCCAGCCCAGGCGGGACCAGCCCCTCACCACCTCCCAGGTAAGACTGCCCTTTGTTAAGACCTGGCTCTTCCATAAGGGAGTGGCCTGGTCAGTTGCATCGCCCACGGGGACAATGTTGTCACCCTTTGTCCAGGGTTCCCCGATTTTTCTTATGCCTCATCCCCCCCCCCCAGCTGTCTTAGCACAGATGGGGAGGGGGGTGTGGAGGGCAGTCTGTCCTTAGTTTTCAGTGTCTTTGGCCATCACTGAAGCTATCAGGTCCCTGGAGGCCTCCCCGGCCTTCATGGGAATGTGTTGTGTTGTGCGTGGAGCAGCCCTCCCCACAGGCAGTGTCTGAGCCGGGGAGCAGGGTGGAAAGGTTGTCCTATGAGCAAAAAACATGGAAATCTCTACGGGCCCCAGGAGCAGGTCAAAGGGGAGGCCCTGGGCCAAAGAGCCTGTTGTGCCAGTCCAAACAGGCTGAGCCTGATGCCCGCCTGCACAGGTAGGGAGTGTAAACCAGGGGCTCTCATGCCTGGCTGTCCTGGGTCCTCAGTGGGCCCTAACGCAGGGCCTCTTGGCCGACTTCCCAGGAGACCCTCTTGCCCCTGCAGCAGCTGCCTATGCACCTCTGACCCTCCTTAATCTCACTGGCCCGTCGCCTTCCCTGGGAAGCTGCATGCAGGCCCCTTCCTGCAGGTGCTGGCCCACCCCAGATCTGCTGGCATATGCAAGGCAGGCCAGGCCTTTACCTGCAATTCACACATGTGGACAGATTCCCCAGAGGGTGGAGGGGAGAAAGGGAGCGGCAGGGAGGAGACACTGCCCGGTTGGCGGCAGTGATCAGTGACCCTGAAATGTTGCTGATCCTGTGGAGGACTTGGAGGCGAGGCAGATTCACACCCTCTCAGATGCACAGTCCAGCTGCCAAGCGGTTTTTGATGCCTTGTTTTAACTTTTTGGGTTTTTTAATTTAATTTTTTCTTTTAGAAATTATATATGTAGGCTGGGAGTGGTGGCTCACACCTGTAATCCCAGCACTTTGGGAGGCCCAGGCGGAGGGATCGCCTGAGATCAGGAATTCGAGACCTCCCTGGCCAATACGGTGTAACCTCGTCTCTACTAAAAGTACAAAAATTAGCTGGGCATGGTGGCAGGTGCCTGTAATCCCAGCTACTCGGGAGGCGGAGGCGGGAGAATCACTTGAACCCAGGAGACGGAGGTTATGGTAAGCTGAGGTCGCACCACTGCACAAAAAAGAAAAAAAAAGTATATGTATGGTTGGAGTTTTTTTTCTTTGGAGACAGAGTCTCACTCTGTTGTCCATGTTGGAGTGGTGTAGTGGCACAATCTCGGCTCACTGCAACCTCCGCCTCCTGGGTTCAAGCGATTCTCCCGCCTCAGCCTCACGAGTAGCTGGGATTACAAGCACAGGTCAGCATGCCCAGTTATTTTTTGTATTTTTTTGTAGAAATAGTTTCACCTGTTGGCCAGGCTGGCCTCAAACTCCTGACCTCAGGCAATCCGTCTGCCTCGGCCTCAGACAAAGTGCTGGGATTACAGGTGTGAGCTACTGTGCCCAGCCTTTTTTTAAATTAAATTTAATTTTTTTTGAGACAGTGTCTGGCTTGGTTTTCCAAGCTGGAGTGCAGTGTTGTGATCACAGCTCACTGCAATGTTGACCTCCTGAGCTCAAGTGATCCTCCCACTTCAACCTGCCAAGTAGCTGGTACTGTAAGCATGCACCCCCACACCCAGCTTTTATTTTATTTTTTTGTAAGATGGGTCTTGCTGTGTTGCCCAGGCTGCTCTAGAACTCCTGGGCTCAAGCCATCCTCCTGCCTCAGCCTTCCAAAGTTCAGGAATTACAGGCATGAACCACCACGCTGGTCCATTGTGGGCTTTTTTTTTTTTTTTTTGACAGGGTCTTGCTCTAGTTGCCCAGGCTGGAGTGCAGTGGTGTGACCTCAGCTCACTGCAACCTCCACCTCCCGGGTTCAAGTAATTATCTGCCTCAGCCTCCCGAGTAGCTGGGACTACAGGTGCCTGTCACCACGCCCAGCTAATTTTTGTATCTTTAGTAGAGACAGGGTTTCACCATATTGACCAGGCTGGTCTTGAACTCCTGACCACAAGTGATCTGCCCGCTTTTACCCCCTAAAGTGCTGGGATTACAGGTGTGAGCCACCACTCCTGGCCTAGCCATTATGTATTTTTAAAGACGGTCTTACTCTGTCACACAGGCTGGAGTACAGTGTCATAGTCATCACTTGGTGGCACAATCATCACTCAAGCCAGCCTGTCACCTCAGTGACTACAGGCACGTGTCACCACAGCCAGCTAATTAAAAAAAATTTTTTTTTTCTTGCAGAGATATGAGGATGCCTCGCTGTGTTGCCCAGGCTGGTCTTGAACTCCTGGCTTCAGCAGTCTTCCTGCCTCAGCTTCCCAAATAGCTGGAATTACAGGTGCAAGCCACCACACCTAAGTTTTTATTTTGGAATAACTTCAGACTTACAGAAAAGTTTCCATGCATGATAAAAATAACTTGCAGGCCGAGCACGGTGGCTCACGCCTGTAATCCCAACACTTTGGGAGGCCAACGTGGGAGGATCGCTTGGGACCAGGAATTCGAGACCAGCGTGGGCAACGTCGGGAGACTTCATTTCTACAAAAAATAAGATTAGCCAAGTGTGGTGATGTGCAGCTATGGTCCCAGCTACTCAGGTGGCTACCTCAGGAGCCTGAGGTGGGAGGATCACTTGTGCCCAGGAGCAGTGAGCTGTGAGCTGTGAGTGTGCCACTGCACTCTAGCCTGGGGTAACAGAACAAGATCCTGTCTCAGAAAAAAAAAAAAGACTTTCATAGACCCTTCACCCAGATTTCCAAATTGTTAACACTGTGCTGCATCTGTTGTTTTCGACCTCTATTGTATGTGTTTTTTTCTCTAAGCCAATATGAGTAAGCTAAAGGATATGACACCGCTTGACCTCTTAATATTTCAGTGTATTTCCTAGAAGCGAATGCATTATCCTATATAGTCACAGTGCCTATAACCACACCAGAAAGTTAGTATTGCCACCAGGCCACACATTGTGTGCAGTGATGCCTCACAGGCTCACCCACTGTATGCAGTGATATTTCTAGTCCCCTTCAGTCAGGAATGGTCCCTTGCCTTTCTGTCTTTCCTGACCTTGACTCCTCCAGAGCATGCAGCCACCCCTTAGGCTGTCTGGTATTTGCTGGTGACTAGGCCTAGCACAGGCTTTGTTGGCAGGAGCACCGTAGTGGGACACCTGGTCCTTGCCAAGTGCCCTTTATCAGCGGGTGAAAAAGGTGTCGGTCAGGTTTTTCCACTGTAAAATAATTACTTTGTGCCCAGATTAAATAGTAATGAGGCTGAGCACCGTGGCTCATACCTGTAATCCCAGCACTTTGAGAGGCTGAGGTGGGCGGATCACTGGAGCTCAGGAGTGTGAAATCAGCCCAGGCAATGTAGCAAAATCCCATTTCTACCAAAAATTTAAAAATTAGCCAGGCGCGGTGGCGTGCGCTTGTAATCTCAGCTACTTGAGAGACTGGGGTGGGAGGATTGCTTGTACCCAGGAGGCAGAGGTGGCAGTGAGCCAAGATCATGTCCGTATACTCCAGCTTGGGCTACAGAGTGAGATCATATCTCAAAAACAAACAAAAAAACATCAGTAGTGAGAGCCTGGGCAACATAGCACAAAACTTTTAGCCAGCCGGACACAGTGGCTCACGCCTATAATCCGCAGCACTTTGGGAGGCCGAGGTGGGCAGATCACCTGAGGTCAGGAGTTTGAGACCAACCTGGCCAATATTGTGAAACCACATCTCTACTAAAAATATAAAAATTGGCCAGCCATGGTGGCACATGCCTGCAGTCCCGGCTACTCGGGAGGCTGAGGCAGGAGAATCGCTTGAATCCAGGAGGTGGAGGCTGCAGTAAGCTGAGATCGTGCCATTGCACTCCAGCCAGGCATGGTGGTGTTGGTCCCAGCTACTTGGGAGGCCTAAGTCTAGGAGGTTGAGGTTGCAGTGAGCTGTGATTGCATCACTGCACTCCAGCCTGGGCAACAGGATAAGATCCTGTGTCAAAAAAAAAAAAATTTTGATAACGAGGATTTACCAGAAAGATGTATGGAGACTATGTAATTATCACTAGTATTAACATCCACTTTTGATTCTCCCCTTTTTTCAAATTGATTTTATTTGCAGACAAGGTCTTATTCTCTTACCCCAGGCTGGAGGGCAGTAGTACGATCTCTGCTCACAGCAGCCTCAACCTCCTGGGCTCAAGTGATCCTCCCATCTCAGCCCCCCAAGTGTCTGGGACTACAGGCAGGCATACCACTCCTGGCTAATTTTTGTGTTTTTTTGTGGAGACAGGGTTTTGCCATGTTGCCCAGGCTGGAAATTTCTTAATTTTTTAGAAACAGGGTCTTGCTCTGTCACCCCAGGCTGGCGTGAAGTTGGCATGATCATTTGTCACTATAGCCTCAACTTGTGGGCCCAGGCCATTCTTCCTCCTCAGCCTTCTAAGTAGCTAGGACTATAGGCACCTGCCACCAGGCCCTGCTGTTTTATGTTTCAATGTTTTTGTGGAGATAGATTCTCACTTTGTTGCCCAGGCTGATCTCAAATGCCTGGCCTCAAGAAATCCTCCTGCCTTGGTCTCCCAAGGTGCTGGGATTACAGGTGTGAGCCCCCATGCCCAACCTCGCTGTTGAGGTTGACCAAATTAGCTATTAATAGGGCAGTTACCAAATGGTGGTTCTCTAACTTCATCCCTCCTTCATTGATTAATGGGTCAGTGGTCACTGTGGTAAGGAGGACTTCTCTCTGTGCTATTGATTTATTCAGGTATATCAGTGTGATCAGGGGCTGGGGGGAGGGGCATTGTGCTATTGAGCAACTTGTAATCTGTCCCTGCTCTCCTTGATTTTGAGATCCAGATTGCCCCTGGCTAGGCCAGCAGGAGCCTGTAACTCGGGCCTATTTCTGTGTCTCCCTCAGGACACCAGCCATGCCCTTTGCTTCCTATGGCCTCCACCACACTAGCCTCCTGAAGCGACACATCTCTCATCAGACGTCTGTGAATGCAGACCCCGCCTCCCACGAGATCTGGAGGTCAGAAACTCTGCTCCAGGTGAGAGTCGAGCTGGTCAAAAGAAACTGTTCAGCCAGCCAGGCGCAGTGGCTCACACCTATAATCCCCAGCACTTTGGGAGGCCGAGGTGGGCAGATCACCTGAGGTCAGGAGTTTGAGACAACCTGGTCAACATGGTGAAACCACGTCTCTACTAAAAATACAAAAATTGGCCAGCCATGGTGGCACATGCCTGCAGTCCCAGCTACTCGGATGGCGTAAACCCGGGAGGCGGAGCTTGCAGTGAGCTGAGATCTGGCCACTGCACTCCAGCCTGGGTGACCGAACTAGACTCCATCTCAAAAAATAAAGAGAAAAAAGAAACTGTTTAGCCACCTTCCACTATGTGGGACAGAGTCCCAGAGATGGCCCCTCAGCCTGGGGCTGATTTTAAATTGTTGATATTTTGCTGCTATGACGATTTAGAAAACATGAAAATAGATCTACCCACCCTTCTAACTTACATGTCATTGATGGTGTTTTTCATCCCAGAACCCCCAGTTCATGGAAGTGTTTTGTTTTGCCTGCGGTGATATGATTGTCGCAGAGTCTTTTGGTTTCTGCCTCCCGTGTTGTTGGAGATGTTTCCTGTGATTACCATTGTGTGGATATTAAGCCCTGCCCCAGTAGCATTTTTATGACACTGAATGGTGAGGGGTCTGTGCAGCCTTCACAGGCCTTCCATTGATTCAGGGGATCCAAGTAGTAGGTGACAGATTTCCTTGTCTGCCCAGAGGGGCTCCAGCCTGTCAGGATGGTATGGGCTGGCTCACTCACTGAGTGCTGGCCAGCTCCCAGGTCCTGGCTGTGTCTTCTAGGCACACATCAGAGAGCTTCAGCAGGTGCTGCTTGTGACGCTGGATCCTGGGGCTGACTTGGTAGCCACAGCCTTGCTGTTGACAGCCTGGCCTGTAGATAAGATAGGATTCCGTCTTCACCTTCTATATAACTCCTAGTATTTGGAGTGCTGCGCTTTTTGAAGCCTCCACACCATTTCACAGCATCCTCGCAGGGTGGAATGGTAAGAGCCGTTGCCCCTGTTCACAGAGGGGACCGTGATGCCCAGCTGACTCTTGGCTGTGTGGACTGTGGGCTGTGCTGGCCATGAAGAGGGCAGGAGATGGTGACACAGGGCTTATAGGGCAGAACTGGAAGGTACTGCTGTTTCCTGGACCAAAGCTTTGGGTTTTTTTTTTGTTTTTTTTTTTTTGAGATGGAGTCTCCCTCTGTTGTCCAGACTGGAGTGTGGTGGCACAATCTTGGCTCAGTGCAACCTCCACCTCTCAGGTTCAAGTGATTCTCCTGCCTCAGCCTCCCAGATAGCTAGGATTCCAGGTGCCCGCTGCCACGCTCAGCTAATTTTTGCATTTTTACTAGAGATGGGGTTTCACCATGTCTTGAACTCCTGACCACAAGTGATCCATTTACCTCAGCCTCCCAAAGTGTTGGGATTATAGGCGTGAGCCACCATGCCCAGCCCTTTTTGTTTTTTTAATTAAGAAAAAAATTTTAATTATAAGATATACATAACATAAAATTTATTGTCTTAACCATTTTCAAGTGTACAGTCAGTAGTGTTAAATATATTCATGTTATTGTGCATCCGATCTCCAGAATGCTTTTCTTCTTGCAAAACTGAAACTGAATCAGCCCGGGCGCAGGGGCCTCACACCTCTAATCTTAGCACTTTGGGAGGCCAAGCAGGGAAGGATTGCTCAAGGCCAGGAGTTCAAGACCAGCCTGACCAACATAGTGAGACCCTATCTCTTTTAGTGAAAAACAAAGAAATCAAACCATTAAACAATTCCCCACCCAGCACCTGGCAACCACTATTCTGCTTTCTGTTTCTGTGGATTTGACTCTTAGATCTCATACCCAGAGTATTTGTAGCATATAATACTTATTTGTGTGTGACTAGCATGCTTCACTTAGCATAATGGACTAAAGATTAATCCATGTTATAGCATGTATCAGAATTTCCTTGCTTTTTAAGACTGAGTAGTGTTCCATTGTGTGGATGTACCACATTGTGTTTATTTATTTATCTCTCAATAGATACTTGAGTGGCTTCTTTTTTTTTTTAGAGACCAAGTTTTGCTCTTGTTGCCCAGGCTGGAGTGCAATGCCGCGATTTTGGCTTACCGCAACCTCTGCCTCCCAGGTTCAAGCGATTCTCCTGCCTCAGCCTCCCAAGTAGTTGAGCTGGAATTACAGGCATGCACCACCATGCCCGGCTAGTTTTGTATTTTTAGTAGAGACGACGTTTCTCCATGTTGGGTCAGGCTGGTCTCGAACTCCTGACCTCAGGTGATCCACCTGCCTTGGCCTCCCAAAGGGTTGGGATTACAGGTGTGAGCCACTGTGCCCAGCCCTTTTTGTTTTGTTTTTAACAGGTTCTAACTTTGTTGCCAGGCTAGAATGCAGTGGTGCAGTCTTGGCTCACTGCAGCCTCAAACTCCTGGGCTCAAGCAATCCTCCCACCTCAGACTGGGCTCAAGCAATCCTCCCACCTCAGACTCCCAAGTTGCTGGGACTATAGGTGTGATGCCCCAACACACCCAGCTGATTTTTGTATTTTTTGTAGAGACAGATTTTCACTATGTTGGCCAGGCTGGTCTTGAACTCCTGGCCTCAGGTAATCCACCCACTTCAGCCTCCCAAAGTGCTGGGATGACAGGGCTGAGTCACCGTGCCTGTTGATTGCCTTTTTACTCTATCAATAGTATCTTTTCATGCTCAAGAGTGCTGATTTTGATGAAGTCTGTCTATTTTTTTCCTTTTGTTGCCTGTGCTTTGGGCGTCATATCTAATTAACCATTGCCAAATCTAGTGTTACGAAGTTTTCTCCCATGTTTTCTTCTGAGAGTTTATGGTTTTAGTTCTTGTCCTCAGGTTGCTTACCCATTTTGAGTTATATTTTGGCGATGGTGTGAAGGAAGGGCCCAGCTTCACTGTTCTGCATGTGGATATTTTGTGTTCCCAGCTCTGCTTGTTGGAGGCACTGTCCTTTCCCCACTGAACGGTCTGGCACCATTGTTGAGAATGGTTGACTAGCTAATGTTTTTTTGCAGGTTTTTGTTGAAATGTGGCTTCATCACTATTCCTTGGAGATGTATCAAAAAATGCAGTCCCCTCACGCCAAGGTATGTTTCCACAGTTTTTCTTCCCACCTCCTGCTTCTGACCCTGCTCAACCTGCTGCTTATCCTGCCTCTGAGTGAGTTTTCACAGACTGAACGGTGGGAAGCAGAAACCCACCACCCACTTGTCACTCAGAAGCCGAATAAGAAGTGGGCATCGTTCTCTAGTTCCTGGTGGCGGGCAGGGGGTGTTGCACCCTGACGTGTAGACACTTGAGGACTGGAGGTCTGGCCTCTCCGGGGCCCACCCTGTGCAGCTTCCTGAGCCCCCTCCCTGGCAGTGGGAACAGATGAGGTTGTGGTGCTCTTGCTCTGAGGGCGGGGGAGCTTCGATGCTCTGGGAGCCACGTTCTCGTCTGTCTCCTCGACCATCAGCAGTGGCTTTGTGCTTTCCCATGAAGGGGTGGCTTGGAGCCTCCTTTGCCTGCTCCCTGTACTCCCCCACCTCCTCCAGAGCATGAGCAAGCAGCCCTTCTCATGGTGGGTGGCACCTGGTGCCCCCCTGCATGCAGCCTGGCTTGCCTCCTCTCCCTCCCTCTCTCCTCTCCCCGCTCTCTCTCGGGGCAACACGCTGCTTGCAGATGCCTGGAGGTGGCGGAGGCCCTGGGTCGCTCTTGCTGTTGCTGTTCCTGGAGCTAGCACCCCCCACCGCCCGGACTGGTCAGAGTGAGAAAGCAGCTAGGTGAACCTTAGATCTCCAGTCAGTCACCCTCCGTGGAGCCGCTTGACTCATGCCTATCCGGGCCCTTGCCTGAGGTGGCATCAGCCACGTGGTCTGGTGCCCATGGCGTCTGTGCATCAGTATGCTTGGGAAACTGGCTTTGTCGCTGACAGATTTAAACTGAGGGCTTCCTCCAGAATGTGGCTGGTGGAGTTAAACTTCAGAGGAGCATCCTGTCACTTTTCCTTGGGTTCTGGCAAAGAGCTGTGGGTCTGCTTCTGCCACAGTCCCTATAGCCAGTTCCAGGGCCCTATGCTTTGCCATGTGAAGGCTCTCGCAGAGCATAGGGTCCCCCAAATCCTCACCCTCAGAATCACATGGGTGGAGAATGGGGAAAAGCTGAGGACCCCATCTTGGGCCTCCTGAGTCACAAAGAGCCTGCAGTCCCCTTCCTGCTTCCAGAGCAGACTTGCTGCATGTCCCTGGCTGGTGCCTGGGGGCCTGGTTATTCCCCAGGCCTGCTCCTCCCGTGGGGCTCTGGGTCCCTCACTCAGCACTAGTGCATGTGGCATGGCGTGGCCTGGCAGGGGCAGGGGCCACCACACTGCATTGTGTTCCGGTTGCTCCTTCTGCCTTCTGAGGGAGTGGAAGCACACCTACTTCCCAGAGTCAGCCAGAAAGACTCTTCTGGGCTGTCACCTGTGAGGATTCTGTGTCCTCACGTGCCAGAGGAAGGGCAGGGGGCTGTCCGTGTGGAGGGCAGGGGGTGCAGTTCCCTTCTTCCCCACTTTCGCTTCCTCTTGGCCAGACCTTGGGGTGGGTGGGCCCTGCTCAGAATACCTTGCAGGGGCCGGACCGAGTCCCCAGGGATGCTCCACTCTTCACCTGTTCCAGTTCAGGCAAAACACAAAACGCAAGAAAACTTGGTGGGTGGGAGCCAGAGAAAGGCAGCTGTGGAGGTCTGTGTCCCCCAAGGCTTCTTGCCACTTGCCCAGGCCTGTGCTACACGTACTGCTGTGCAGAAATCCCTGCCTGTCCCCACTAGCCCTTATTTTCAGATGCAGGAAGTGAGGCTCCTAGGGTCATCCTCCTCACCCTGGTTGAGTCCAGGATGCGTGCTTGCTCCCCAGTGGCCCTGTGGGCAGTAAGGATGGCCATGGCGCTGCAGGCCACTGTGTTCCTGCAAGCAAGGGCAGAGCCACACTGGGGAACTGTATGTCTGATTCCTCCCTGAGCCCCAGGTCTGGCACAGGGGAAGGCTGTGGAGGGCAACACCTCCCTGCCCTGCTCCTTCGCTCCCTGCTCTGCGTGTCATGGCGACTGGCGAGTGTTCTGATCTCTCCTTTGTGGAGCCCCGTGGGTGCGCTGCTTGGGCAGGAGGCATGCTGCTGGCGAGGCAGGATGTGCACCAGGCTGGCTCTGGCTGCACTGGGCTGAAGGGGTGCTTCGGCAGGCCGTGGTGCTGCAGCGCAGTAGGTTGGAGGGTCCTGGCTAGGAACCAGCTCAGCCTCAGGTTCCTGCTGCCTCTGGGTGTGTGTGGCTGTGGCCAGATCCTCGGGGGCTCCCACCCTTGGGAACGCACTGTGTCTGGAGGGTGGGAGTTTCTGGTGCGGTAGGAGAGGCTGCCTCCAGGAGTCAGAGCTGATGTGCACACCCCCTTAGCTGACCTCCGTACTGCCTGGTGGCCTGAGCCTGTGCTCCTCGTCTCTGTGCTACCCTTGGGGAACTGTCTTCGCCCTCAGTTCTCAGAGAGCCACATGGAGGGGACACTGATTGAGTTTTAAACACATAGGAATTGATCATGTCTTACACCAATTTGGTAAATTTCTTAAGACAACCCAGGGGAATCCAGTCAATTCCACGTGTCTTTTCTGGGCAGAGTCCTCCTCCTGGAACATGCTCCGCTGGTTTTTCTGAGCCTCGGGATCTTGAGGTCTCAGTGACGGGCAGCATGTCCCAGCGAGGGCCCTGGGCTCTTGGAGGGCTCTGGTGTGCACGTGCCACACAGAGTGACCTCAGAGTCACTGGGGAGAATGGGTCCCATCCTGAAGGGCAGTGAGTTGGGCCCTTCCGATGAGCTAGAGAGGCCTTTGGGCCCCAGCAGTATTGAGGGGCCACCAGGTGACCTGGAGGGTCCATCTGCCCGGGCCTCCAGAGCTGAGGAGAGTGTGGCCACAGCCCTGGCCTGGCTTCGGAGGGGGGTGTTGCGCTGGCCCGCGGCTGCTGGGACTGCAATTGTTTGGATTGTCACTGACCGTGCTTTTGTTTTTGTTTTTTTCTCCTCACTCCTGGGCTTGTTCTCATTGCTTTCTTTCTCTCTCCGCTTCCCCCTCCCGTGTCTGGTCCTTTCTCTCCCCTTCCCCACCCCCTCCTCTTGTCCTCTGCTCTTCTGCCTCTTCCGGCATCTCTCTGTTCCTTGTCTCAGCTGGAGGTTCTGCACTACCGACTCAGTGTCTCCAGCGCCCTCTACAGCCCCGCCCAACCCAGCCTCCAGGCCCTCCACGCCTACCAAGTACTGGCTCATTCGTTCCCTTCCCCTGCCCATAGTGCATGTCCATGCCTGGCAAAGCCAGGGGCCGCCGGGGCCGGCCGCTGGTGACTCAGAGGCTAGTTCCAAGCAGAGCGAAGCCCCTGTGTCTGGGGGAGGCAGGGGTCAGCCTCCAGTCTGGCCTGGCCCCTGGCTTTGTAGTCTAGCTTGGTTGGGGGTGGGGCTGGTGGCTGTGTGGCAGAACAAGGCGTGTGGCCCTGGCTGTCCAGGCTCCCAGCCAGTGGAGGTGTCACAAGCTCTCCGGTGTTGGAGGCCCCGTGCTTGGCCCTGGTTTGAAACACTGGAGTCCTCAGGCCTCAGCAGTGGCCTGGTTCACTGCACTCTGTAGGGTCTGGTGCTCAGGAAGGAGCTGAAGACACAGAGGCCTGGGACTTACGGGTGGTGGGGGTTCTGCCTTGTGTAGAACTGTCACCCAGCCTGGAGGTGCTGCGACCCAGAGCCTGCATGTGAGGCGGGGGTGGGAAGGACCTAAGGCTTGACCCTATAGCCCACAGAAGCTGTCCGTCCTTGACAGTCCAGCCAGGACCCGGCCATCACCTGGGGAGCCCTGGCCACTCATACACACCTCCAGAGGCGGATTAAAGTGGGTGGTGACCTCATAGGGGTTGTAGCTGCCTAGGCAGAAATGACAAGTGTGTGGATGGATTTGAGGTCAGTGAAGCAGAGTTCAGACTTGTAGGGGACTTCAGGGATGACAGAGGAATCTGTGAGAGCCAGAGGAGACAGGCTTTGCTCACAGCCAGTGATCTGTCCCGCTCACCTGGGAAGGAGCACGCATGACTGAACAGGAATTAGAGCACAAGATGAGAAAACGTGTTGGCCCCTGAGCGCCGTTGGGCTGGGCTGGTGGCCACAGCACACGGGGGCACCTCATACCGCAGGAGCCACTCCAGAGGAGCGGAGGGACCTGAGAGGGCTTGGGCCAGGGAGGGAGGACAGTGTCCAGAAAGCATCTGGTAAACCCCATGGTGGGAGGGGTGACCAGCAAGACCTAGGTGGGGTGAGCTGAGGTGCTGTGAGTCTCAGCCCAGTGGGAAATGTGGGTCTTTGGGGAACACATCCCTAAGAAGCAAGCAGGTGTGACTGTGGCCAGGGACTCCATGTGAGAACATGGCCCAGGAGGGGTGCCGAGCTGAGGGCGGAGTTTGGCTCAGCACACCTGTGGGAAAATAGCCTGAGAGGGTTCCAGGTGACTGCCGGGGGTTAGGGGCGGACAGTGGGCCCTCCGACCCTTCGGAAGGACCGGGTGAGGTGGGGCAAGTGCACCAGCAGGGGAAGGCAGTTTTCCAGTTCCCATGTGGAGCTCGTCCCCTCCCCTGAGCCGCAGGGAGGATGTTAGGGCTCACGATCCTAGGCCAGGGTTGGAGGGAGGGCCTGGGGTGAGATTGGAGGAAGAGAAAGACCCTGGTCTAACGTCCCACCCACTGGTGCTCTTCTAGTTGGGCAGTATAGGTACAGGTATCATGTCTCATACTTTTCTCCTTCCGTCTTGTTTTTTTTTTTTTTTGAGATGGTGTCTCGCTCTGTTGCCCAGGCTGGAGTGCAGTGGCATGGTCTTGACTCACTGCAGTCTCCACCTCCCAGATTCAAATAATTATCCTGTCTCAGCCTCTTGAGTAGCTGGGATTACAGGCACGTGCCACCCACCCGGCTAATTTTTGTATTTTTAGTAGAGACATAGTTCTACCATGTTGGCCAGGCTGGTCTCAAACTCCCGACCTCAAGTAATCTGCCTGCCTTGGCCTCCCAGAGTGTTGGGATTATAGGCGTGAGTCACTGCAGCTGGCCCTTTCTTCCAAAACAATGCGAATTCATTGCCCAAAGACTTAACGATACAGATAGTAGAGGAAAATAGCCAGCCGCGATGGCTCACACTTGTAATCCCAGCACTTTGGGAGGTTGAGGCAGGCTGATTGCTTGAACTCAGGAGTTTGAGACCAGCCTGGGCAACATGGCAAGACCCCTGTCTCTACAAAGAAATACAAAAATTAGCCTGGTGTGGTGGTGTGTGCCTGTGTTCCCAGCTACCCGGGAGGCTGAGGTGGGAGGATCCCTTGAGCCCTGGAGGCAGAGGCTGCAGTGAGCCGAGATCACGACACTACACTCCAGCATGGGTGACAGAGTGAGACCCTGTCTCAAAAAAAGAAGAAAATGCCTCCCACCCTGTAGCTCCATCTTCAGACTCAGCCACTGATCTCTGGGGCGTGTCACCTGGACCTGTGGGGACAGTTTTCTGACGGGGAGACTTGAGTGGGCAGCGATATGGGCAATGGCCCGTGCGGGATCTGCAGCATCCCAGGATATACCCGGAGGCTGGGCCCTGCACCAGCACAGATGTATGAAGGCCCAAAGGGCTGGGGGACAAGCGAGCATGTCCACTCAGACTCAGGGCCCTGCCTTCAGCACCCTAACTCCCTTGCCCTCGTCAACTCTTGATGCTCCCACCTGCCCTCCCAATGCTAAGCAACCAGAGGAAGCACATGGCCACCAAAAAGATTTCCTCTCCAGCTAGATCTCCAGGATCCTGCTTGTATGTTACAAATCAAAGTTTGGCCTAGGCTGGGCACAGTGGCTCATGCCTGTAATCCCAGCACTTTGGGAGACCTGAGGTCTGGCCAACATGGTGAAATCCCGTCTCTACTAAAAGTAAAAATTAGCTGGGCATGGTGGCACACACTTGTAGTCCCAGCTACTCGGGAGGCTGAGTCAGGAGAATCGCTTGAACCTGGATGCGGAGGTTTCAGTGAGCCGAGATAGTGCCGCTGTGCTCCAGCCTGGGCGACAGAGGGAGACCTTGTCTCAGGGAAAAAAAAAAGTCTGGCCTAATATCCCTGACTGTGCTTTTGTCTTGGGGTTTTCCTGACCACAGGTCCCTGGGCAACAGAGGAAGTGACGCCCGGGGCTTCTGCTGGGCCGAGTTCTCATCTGGCTGTGTCCAGGATGAGCAGGTGGAAGGATTTGGGGAGGAAAGCGAAGCCATGGGGTTCTTATTTTTGAACAAGGTCTTACTCTGTCACCCAGGCTGGAGTGTAGTGGCACGATCCTAGCTCACTGCAGCCTCAAACCCCTGGGCTCAAGTGATCCTCCCACCCTAGCCTCCTGAGTCGTTAGGACTATAGGTGTGCACCATCACACCCAGCTAACTTTTTAAAATTTTTCGTAGAGACCTGGTCTCCCTGTGTCGTCTAGGCTAATCTCTAACTTCTTAGTGATCTTTCTGCCTCTGCCTCCCAAAGTGCTGGAATTACAGGTCTGAGGCACCACAGCTGGGTTCCACGTGCTTTCTGCACACACTTGGGAGGCTGGTGGGAGACCCTGGATCCAGAGCTTGGGGTGATGCTGGCTCTCTCCTGCCCTAAGGATCAAGACAGGCACCAGTGCCCAAGGGCACAGCCTGTGCCACCCACTGCGGGCTTGCAGCGGTGCAGAAGCAGGGCTGCGGGGCCCTCTGCAGATGTGTCTGTCTTAGTGAGGCCTCCCCAGGGTGGGCTTTGTGGGCGCTGGGCCAAGCACTTCCCTACCACAAGCTGGTCAGCGTTCAGACCAAGCAGTGTAAGGCACGTCTGCTGGGTGCCAGGCACAGTGGTGCCCCAGGGAGTGGCCCCACTCCCAGCCTGGCTCGTGCCTCCTGTGGGGAAGCAGAGCAGCTGGCTCAGGGCGGGATGTGGTCAGACCTGGAGGCCTAGTGCTGTGGGTGCCGCGCTCCTTCCCAGGCCCTCACCCTCGTTCTCCACCTAGGAGTCGTTCACGCCTACTGAGGAGCATGTGCTGGTGGTGCGCCTGCTGCTCAAGCACCTGCACGCTTTTGCCAACAGCCTGAAGCCAGAGCAGGCTTCGCCGTCCGCCCACTCCCACGCCACCAGTCCCCTGGAGGAGTTCAAACGGTAGATGTCCCTTGCGGCTTCCCACCACTGCTGTCTCCCCCGCTTTCCCCTCCTAAGGTGTCGCCCACAGCAGCCTGTCCCCAGGGCATGGAGGGCAGGGTGAGGGGAGTCCCTTTCCGCTCACAGAGCACGTGAGGTTTCTCCAGGCCTAGGCAGGTGCCTTCTCTCCCCACCTAGCTGGCTCCCAGAGCCTCTCTCTCCAGACTGGCCAGAGAGGCCCCATTGTGCTTCCATCTCTTACATCTAATCTTCTTCAACCCTGTCAGGAGAAGAGCTGGGGCAGCCCTGACTGCCAGGCCCATCAGGGCCAGCAGAGTGGGTTGTTTGTATGGGACTGAGGTGAGGTGTGTGCGGGAGCGGCACTGACTTGGCCGCCTGTGTGCTGTGTGTCCTTGGGATGTTCCCTAAACTCTCTGAACCTTGGTTTCTTCCTCTGAAGAATGGGGCTGAACCTCCTGGAGGTGCCCAGTGCTCTGCCCCGGCAGAGCCGACCCTCACTGATGGGAGCCGCGGGCTCACCTGTGAGCAGGGCCTCCTTACTGGGCAAGCAGCAGGTGACCCTCCCAATCCCCTGCAGGGCCGCTGTCCCGAGGTTCGTCCAGCAGAAACTCTACCTATTCCTGCAGCACTGCTTTGGCCACTGGCCCCTGGACGCATCGTTCAGAGCTGTGAGTGTTGGCCCCGTCACACGTGTGCCTGTGTCCTCTGTGTGCCCTGAGGTGGGAGGTCCTCTGGGGCAGTTGAAGGAGGAGAGCAAGTGTTTTCACAGAGGCCTTGGCAAGGAGGGGGTCTTGGAGGGCCGCATTGTTCTGTCTGTTTGTTTCCAAATCCAACCCTCAGGAAAGCCCTGCCCTGTCCCACCTGTCTGGTGCAGGGCAGGTTCCTACCCTTACCTGACCAGGGAGCACTGTGCCCCCTGTGCTGGGAAAAGCCCACCTATGACCCTGGCTTCTGGAGGGCCAGCAAGAGAGCCAAACCCCACAGGGCTGTGTACGTCTCTCCTGCGCCCTCTGGGCGACGTGGGAAGAGCCAGTCCCACCCAGCTGCCGCCCGGGACCTGGGCTCCACGCCACCAGAGGATTCGGCCCCCAGCCACTGAGCCCTCAGCACACACCTCCCCCACAGGTCCTAGAGATGTGGCTGAGCTACCTGCAGCCATGGCGGTATGCACCTGACAAGCAGGCTCCGGGCAGCGACTCCCAGCCCCGGTGTGTGTCGGAGAAATGGTGAGCCTCAGCCCCTCTCACAGACATGCACTGGCTCCCCCAGGTGGATATGGCTCCGGTGGGTGGAGGCCAGGCCAGAGGCCTGTGCTGGGGTCAGCCTGGCCCTGGCCCCCGTGGCCGCCTACGGTCCTCTCCCAGCCCCTGCCGACTGGAGCACAGACCAGCCCTTCCTAGACTCAACTTTGCCAGGCCCTAGAATTGGTTTCTTATGGAAGCGGTGGGTGACCCATCCCGCCCTGTCCCCTCTCTCTTCTGTCCCAGACGAGTGTTCAGCCATCCCCAAACTATCCCTTGACTCTCATCAGCACAGAGCAGAGCACTGGTGATCAAGCAGGGAATGAGGGAGGCCGCCTTCCCCCATCCCCTGCTTGATTCTTACAGCAGACCCCCAGGCTTCTGTGGCACCTCGCATGGCCACTGACGCCTCCCCTCACCCAAGGCTTTCCCCTTTGGACCCTCTGGGGGATCCTCCCTCAGCCCCCTCAGGCTTTGGGCCGGCCTCTGCCATGGTGGCCTCCGTTCACTTGGAAAGGGGCCTCAGCCTTGCTAAGGATGTGGTGTCCTCAGAGGGCCTGGGTCTTACCTGCCTCTGTCCTGCCCTCCCTGCCTGCCCATGCCCCCCGAGTTGTCGTCTGTGACAGCTTGTCACCTTGGCCAGGGAGAGTCTGAAAGCCCAAGGGTGAGCAAGGGCATTAAGGACATAGACCAGCACAGCCCCCGCCTCCAGTGGGAAGACTGGCCCTGACCTGCCCCCTCGGTCCCCAGGGCGCCCTTTGTCCAGGAGAACCTACTGATGTACACCAAGTTGTTTGTGGGCTTCCTGAACCGCGCACTCCGCACAGACCTGGTCAGCCCCAAGCACGCGCTCATGGTGTTCCGAGTGGCCAAAGTCTTTGCCCAGCCCAACCTGGCTGAGATGATTCAGAAAGGTAAGTCATCAGCCTGGGCCAGCTGGGTAAACGTCGACCAAGCCAGACCAGGGCCAGGCCCTTAGCTGGAGGCGACCGGTCTTGAAGAGGGACCCACATGCCCAGAGTGGGCCCTAGCAAAGGGTGCTGTGGAGACTCCTGGGACACATCTGTATGGTGAAGTCTGAAACCGGCTGGATCCTGCCTGCCCTGCAGCCACCAGGCACTCGCGAGGAGGGAGGATGGCAGGTGTGCCCATAGAGGGGGACTGCACGGTCCAAGCTGCAGCCCCGTGGCCCCGCTGTTTCTCCCCGGCGACTTGTGGTGGCCACTTGAGGAGGTGAGCCTGGACTCTGCCGTGCATTCATCCTGGCTGGGTTGGGCATTGGTTTCTGTTCCTCCTGCTGTTGTTTACCTCCTGCAGACACTGCTGGGGGCTCTGTGAGCCACCAGCTCCCCCACCTGCCCTCCTCAGCCACCTACTGTGTGGGAGATGCTGCCAGGCAGGGCCTCAGAGGACACCCCTGGGTCACGGCTCCCCAGACACCTCGGAGGCACCCCAGAATTCTAAGTCAGGTACTCTGCCTCCGGGAAGTGGGTGCCAGGTTCGACCGTCTCCTGCCTTCTAGGTGAGCAGCTATTCCTGGAGCCAGAGCTGGTCATCTCCCACCGCCAGCACCGACTCTTCACGGCCCCCACATTCACTGGGAGTTTCCTGTCACCCTGGCCACCAGCAGTCACTGATGCCTCCTTCAAGGTGAAGAACCACGTCTACAGCCTGGAGGGCCAGGACTGCAAGTACACCCCGATGTTTGGGCCCGAAGCCCGCACCCTGGTGAGTGGGCCGGCGGTGCCTGTCCTTAGGGCCCCTGGAGCCATGGGGCTGAGAAGAGCCGGGGAAGGGCTGTGATCCGGCAGGAAGGAGGGAGGCTGGGTGTAGATTTGTCACCACATCTCCTTCCCCCGTTTTAGTAAAGTCTCAGTTTTTCCTGATAACGAAGGCAGTGTTTGTTGGGAAATTTCAAATTTAGATGATCATCCTTTAGTCTTTAAAAGTCCTCTGGCGGAAGCTGCTCCTCCCGACGCTCAGCAGTCTGGCTGTGCATTGCTCTTGGGGCTCCCGGCCAGCCTGTCTGGGTGGCAGCACAGGCCTGTCCTGCTGGTGACCTGGTGACCTGCCCGCACCTCCCTTGCAGGTCTTACGCCTTGCTCAGCTCATCACACAGGCCAAACACACAGCCAAGTCCATCTCAGACCAGTGTGCGGAGAGCCCGGCTGGCCACTCCTTCCTCTCATGGCTGGGCTTTAGCTCCATGGACACCAACGGCTCCTACCCAGCCAACGATCTAGACGAGATGGGGCAAGACAGCGTCCGGAAGACAGATGAATATCTGGAGAAGGCCCTGGAGTACCTGCGCCAGATATTCCGGGTACGACCTATGGGACCTGCCCCACGGCCATCAGGGTCCCCTTCCCCGAAAGATCCACTTCACGTAGCCTGTGCTCAGCCACGTACCAGTCCCAGGCCCCACACACCAGTCCCAGGCCCCACACATACGGACCCAGTGTTGTGGGAGGCAGGCCCACACCTCGAGCGTCATATCTGGGTCCCCTTGTTGGCACTGTTGTAGGCTGGTGGGGTGAAGACTGGTCCCCTCCCTTCATCTTGACGCTGAGGGCAGAGGCACTTCTCTCTGGCAGCTCAGTGAAGCACAGCTCAGGCAGTTCACGCTCGCCTTGGGCACCACCCAGGATGAGAACGGAAAAAAGCAGCTTCCCGACTGCATTGTGGGTGAGGACGGACTCATCCTCACGCCCCTGGGGCGGTACCAGGTGAGAGGCCCGTGTCTCAGAGGAGCACAGGCTAGGCCCTGCCCCATCCCTAGCTCCCTCCTCCCTCGTGAGCAGAGGCCATCAGGCTCCTCTGAGTTGTATGTGGGGCTGTGTTTTCTGACCCGTCGCTATGGCCTGGCTTTCTAGATCATCAATGGGCTGCGAAGGTTTGAAATTGAGTACCAGGGGGACCCAGAGCTGCAGCCCATCCGCAGCTATGAGATCGCCAGCTTGGTCCGCACGCTCTTCAGGCTGTCGTCTGCCATCAACCGCAGAGTGAGTGGGCAGGAGGACCGGCCTGGCCTCTTCAGAGAGGGTTCTGGATGCTCCTGCCCCGGGTGCAGTCCCGGGCTGGCTGGTGGGGGTGGGGTACTGCTGTCCTGAGGCCTGTGGTGCCACCACCCCACACCCCATGCCTCTGTCTGTGCTTCAGTTTGCAGGACAGATGGCGGCTCTGTGTTCCCGGGACGACTTCCTCGGCAGCTTCTGTCGCTACCACCTCACAGAACCCGGGTTGGCTAGCAGGCACCTGCTGAGCCCCGTGGTGCGGAGGCAGGTGGCTGGCCACACCCGTGGCCCCAGGCTCAGCCTGCGCTTCCTGGGCAGTTACCGGACGCTGGTCTCACTGCTGCTGGCCTTCTTGGTGGCCTCTCTGTTCTGCGTCGGGCCCCTCCCATGCACGCTGCTGCTCACCCTGGGCTATGTCCTCTACGCCTCTGCCATGACCCTGCTGACCGAGCGGGGGAAGCTGCACCAGCCCTGAGGGTGTCAGCTGCCTTCAGAGCAGGCTGGGGGATTTGCCACACAGCCCCACCTTGGGCCTGAGAGGACCTGGGAAGCCCCTCCAGGAGGGACCACGGTCATCGTCGGGCTTCTGGAGCAGGGTTCCTGCAGCCGCAGAGGCATCTGGAGGAAACGCAACCAAGAAGGGAAGGCAGGGGAGGCCAAGACGGGCGGATCACGAGGTCAGGAGATCAAGACCATCCTGGCTAACACGGTGAAACCCCATCTCTACTAAAAAATACAAAAAACTAGCCGGGCGAGGTGGCGGGCGCCTGTGGTCCCAGCTACTCGGGAGGCTGAGGCAGGAGAATGGCGGGAGGAGAATGGCGGGAACCCGGGAGGCGGAGCTTGCAGTGAGCTGAGATCCGGCCACAGCACTCCAGCCTGGGCGACAGAGCGAGACTCCTCCGTCTCAAAAAAAAAAAAAAAAAAGAAGGGAAGGCAGGCGGGGCCCGGCAAAGGAGTGGCTACCAGGCCTTAACAACCACGTTCCGGCCTCTCCCTCCCTCCGCCAAGGACTCCGCCCAGCCAGCTCTTGGGGCCTTTTTCCAGCGCCCATTTGGGTACTCTGCCGCTAAGCTTGGGAGCCAGCCTGCCAACAGCCGCCTGGCCTGGCCTCCCGACTGGCTGGCCTTGAGATGGGCAGAGCGGGTTGTGGCACCTCCTCTCCCTGTGTGGGACCAGGACGGTGGCTCAGCCTCCACTCCAGGGAAGAATCAAAGTTTCTAGAGTCGTGAGGAAACTATTGAGAGTGGCTCTTCTCTGATTCTTCACTGTGAGAGGCATTCTTCATGTTCTCCCAGCTGTTCCAAGACTGGGCCGTAGAATTCCATGTTTCAGGAGCCTAAGACCCTCCCAGAGCCCAGGTGCTTCACCGCAGACCCCAAGCCATCGAGCACATCGCCCAGAGCAGTGGCCAACATCATGGACCCCTGTGCCTTGTCACAGATGGGTGCTGGTCCTCAGGTGTTGCAGACACTGCTGGGTCCATGGGGTCGGATTCTGCCAGTTTCTGCTCTGCAGCCAAAGATGGTCAGAAGCATTGTCGCTTCACTAGCATCAAGTGCTCAAAGACATGGCAGCCATTTGATGGTACTTAAGTATTCAAAATGACGACAACTGCAGATTCTCTGACAGAAACCAGCACGGGGTCTTCACCTTCCTTCACCCCACAGATGACACGCCAGGGACAACAGCATCTCAGTGGCGATTTCCAAACCAAGCCTTTGTTTTTGCTGTGGGAGTTTGGGGGTTTGCTTTAATGTTTTTCAAATTGTAAATGTTGGGCTTTGTATTTTGATGTAAACTGAGAATAATGGCATTTTAGGGCCTGTGACCAAAAATCAAGCTTGTAACTCGACCATGGATCTGAATAAACCTGTCCTTGCTTCTGAGTCTTCTGGCACCTGGGCTCAGTCTCCAGGAGCTTCACCTGTGCAGAGTCCCTGAGCACACGGGGGCTGCAGACACAACTGCTGGGCACCCTGTCGGCCCCTCCCTGCAGTGTCCACAGGCCTGGGCCTCTGGCTTCCTGTTCTTTCCTCTCTCAGAGGCACAGTGACTTTGCCCCGTCTTTACAAAAGATTCAAAAAGTTAGGCATGGTGGCTCACGTGTGTGGTCCCAGCTACTCGGGACACCGAGTTTGGAGGATCGTCAGGACCCAGGAGGTGAAGGCCGCAGTGAGCCTTCATCCCGCCACTATCCTCCAGCCTGGGTGATGGAGTGAGACCCTGTTCTCAAAAGCTGACCTCCAGGAACGTGTGCTGCCATGTCTATGGCTTCCAGAAGCTCCGAGGATTGCGGGAGTTGCTGGGGGCTGAACTGTCTGGCCAGGAGCGGGGGTGCAGACAAAAACGTATTGAGAACCAAGAACAGCAAAGCTGAGTGAGGGAGCAGGGTCTTGGTGGCTGGGACCTGGACAGTGATGGCCACAAAGCCAGCTGGTGCTCAGTGGCTCCTTCCTGGGGAGCGAGGACGGCAGCAGGCAACTAGGTTCCAGCCACTTCCAGGTGGGGGGTAGGGACCTCGCCAATAAATTGGGATTTAAATTTTGCCGAGAGCTTTCACTCTAGAGAAAATGGGACTGCTGGGATGAGAGCAGAAGCAAAATGCAGTTGGGGCCCGGCCAGGAGGCACTTGGGGACTTCCAGGGAAGGCCTGTAGTTGGAGCAACTTGGGAAGCAGTTCTGTCTGGGGCACAAGGAGGAGGGATGCCAGGCTGGAGGCAGGAGCGCCTGCACATTCTCGTCTCCAACCCTGGATGCCTCCAGAGTGGTCTGCCCTAACTGCCACTGCCGCCGCCACCTCAGCTCCTAGGACTTTTTGCCATTGGGTCACACTCCCCTGCTAACAGGCCAAATCCAGATGCTTGACCAAGTGGGCTGGAGCCTCTGGCGGTACAGCTTCAGGCTGTCCTGACATCACCCCTGCCCCCTGCACATCCGCATTGTCCTCCTTGCCCCGAGGCAGTGCTGTTCCCTGGAGCCCATTCATGGCCCACTCCCTTGCACGACCAACACATTATACCTCTAGGATATGCCAGCGCCCCTGTGATCTGAGGTAAGTCAGATTCTGATTGTGCAAGCAACTCACACGCAGAGGCCCTGTGCAGTCAGGAGAAATCTATACCTTTCCCCTTGGACATCCAAGAGCAAGTTAGATCCCCTAAAGGCCAGCTCTTACCAATAACCCTGACATTTCCAATATAAATGAGAGAGAACTCTTTTTTTTTTTTTTTTTTAAACTGAGTATCTCACTCTGTCACCCAGGCTGCAGTACGGTGGCACGATCTCAGCTCACTGCAAGCTCCGCCTCCCGGGTTCACGCCATTCTCCTGCCTCAGCCTCCCGAGTAGCTGGGACTACAGGCGCCCGCCACCATGCCCGGCTAGTTTTTTGTATTTTTAGTAGAGACGGGGCTTCACTGTGTTAGCCAGGATGGTCTCAATCTCCTGACCTCGTGATCCACCCGCCTCGGCCTCCTAAAGTGCTGGGATTGCAGGCGTGAGTCACCGCGCCCGGCCGAGAACTCTTTTGGAGACAAAGTCTTGCTATATTGCCCAGGCTGGAGTGCACCGCACCGTCACGGCTCACTGCAGCCTGTAACTCCTGGGCTTACGCAGTCCTTCTGCCTCAGCATCCTAAGTAGCCAGGACTACAGGCATGCGCCACCACACCCTGCTAATTTTTAAATTGTTTTGTAGAGGCGGGGTCTCACTGTGTTGCCAGGCTGGTCTTGAACTCCTGGGCTCCAGTGATGGACCGCCTCTGCATCCTGAAGTGCTGGGGTTACAGGTGCGAGCCACCACACTGGAGAGAGGAGTCTCATGTAGCCTTCACTGTAAAAACTAAGCTAGCTTCCCTTGACTCCCCAAACCAGAATTCCTAACATAATTTTCTCAAGTCACAAGGTGCCAAAACATACCAAATTATTTCCCAGTCAAGAATTCCTACTTTTGGCCAGGTGCAGTGGCTCACGCCTGTAATCCCAGCACTTTAGGAGGCTGAGGCAGGAGGATCACTTGACGTCAAGAGTTCGAGACCAGCCTGGCCAACATGGTGAAATCCCATCTCTACTAAAAATACAAAAATTAGCTAGTGTGGCGCATACCTCTAATCTCAGTTACTTGGGAGGCTGAGGCAGGAGAATCGCTTGAACCTGGGATGCAGAGGTTGCAGTGAGCCGAGATTGCACCACTGTACTCCAGCCTGGGTGGCAGAGACGCCTTCTAAAAAATAAATAAAAAATAAAAGTGATAATTGGCAGTTGGTGCCAGGGAGAGGCCACTTCCTGATGGGCCACACCTATTTCACTAAAGGGTTAATTGAATGCAGATTCGAGGGAGAAACAACTTCCCAGGCATGTGCATTAGGAGACAAAGTGGTGGAGTATGACCTTCTGGGGGCACCCCACCCAGAACCCTCAGATGGCATGCATACAGTTTCCTAAACACACTGCGAGTGCTCACCTCCCAGGGGTAAGGAGGGCACTATACATACGGACAGCCCACCCTAAGGGAAGGGTCACGGGAAAGGGGCCAGTCTAGAAGGTCCTAGGATCAAGGTTAAACACCACACTTGACCTTCATGTGCCCACTTAGGTCTCTTCCAAGCGTACTTTCTTTGCTGTTTTAAAGCCTTTTAAAATACACTTCCACTGCTGCTCTGAAACTTGCTTCGGTCTCTTTTTCTGCCTTATGCCCCTCAGTCGAATTCCTTCTTCTGAAGAGCCAAGAACTGTCGTTGCTGAAGAACCATCGGATTCGCTGCCAGCAACTTGGACACCTTCCACTGCTAACACCATTAACTCGGACACCTTCCACTGCTAACACCATTAACTCGGACACCTTCCACTGCTAACACAATAACACTTGGTTACTGTGTTTATTTGGAGCGTAAGTAGGGTTTAAGGAGATGTGTATGGGTGCCAGGTTGACAAGGGGTGGACTTGTGATGGTTAATTCTGTATGTCAACTTGTCTGGGCCACTGGATGCACGCATATCTGGTTACACAGTATTTCCTGGCAGGTCTGGAAGGGTGTTTTCAGAAGAAATTAGCATTTAAGTTGGTGGTGCAAGCAGCCATGCGTGCATTTCTGGAGCAGCTTCCCTGTAGCTTGCAGGAACCAGAGCGGGCAATAAGAGTTCCATCCTCCAAATCCTGGGGATCTGTGCTCTGATTGATGATGGTTGCTTTTGATTGTGAAAATGCAGACAAAGGCCGGGTGCGGTGGCTCAAGCCTGTAATCCCAGCACTTTGGGAGGCCGAGACGGGCGGATCACGAGGTCAGGAGATCGAGACCATCCTGGCTTAACACGGTGGAACCCCGTCTCTACTAAAAATACAAAAAATTAGCCAGGCGTGTGGCAGGCGCCTGTAGTCCCAGCTACTCGGGAGGCTGAGGCAGGAGAATACGGAAACCCGGGGAGGCGGAGCTTGCAGTGAGGCTGAGATCCGGCCACTGCCACTCCAGCCTGGGCGACAGAGCGAGACTCTGTCCTCAAAAAAACCAAAAAAAAAAAAAAAGAGAAATGCAGACAAAGAGGCAGGCAGCCACTGCTGCAATCTCCACGGCTATGTTTGCAACCTCCCTCCTCAACCCTCACCCCCTTCCTGGGGACACACCTTCCAGGAGGTTTTTATGGATCAGCACCTCCTCCTGCCTTCATTTTTCTTTTCTCCTTGGGAACCAGATGTTTAGGACTAGAACATTCAAAAGCAACCTTACACCAGGCACAGTGGCTCATACCTGTAATTTCAACACTTTGGGAGGCTGAGGCAGGAAGACTGCCTCAGCCCAGGAGTTTGAGACCAGTCTGGGCAACATAGCAAGACAAAAAAAAAATTAGCCAGGCATGGTGGTGTGTGCCTTTAATCCCAGTTACTAGGGAAGCTGAGGCAGGAGGATGGCTTGAGTCCAGGAGTTCCAGGCTGCAAGTGAGCTATAATCGTGCCACTGCACTCCTGCCTGGATGACTTTCTCTCCACTCAGGAGATCCTCACTCCCAGCAATAATACTGCTGCCATTCATTCCACTATCAATAAGCCATAATTACTGAATACATGTTGCTATAATTATTTTGAACACCCTGTCATCTGTTAAAAATAAGAACAAGATTATGTTTTATCTTAATTTATTTCTTCTCTAATGCACTTCCCTTTCTTTAGATCCACATTTCCTATATCATTTTCCTTCTTTTTTTGAGACAGGGTCTCTCTGTTGCCCAAGCTGGAGTGCAGTGGTGCAATCATGGCTCACTGCAGTCTCAGCCTTCTGAGTAGGTGGGACTGCAGACATGCACCACCATGCAGGCAAATTTTTTAGTTTTTTTGTGGAGACAGGGTCTGGCTATATTGCCCAGGCTGGTCTCCAACTCTCAGGCTCAAGAGATTCTTCTGCTTTGGCCTCTCAAAGTGCTGGGATTACAGGCATGAGCCATGCACCTGACTTCATTTCTGTTGTGTTTTTGACTTCTTACATTTTCTTTTTGTTTATTGAGACAGAGTCTCACTCTGTTGCTTGGGATGGAGTGTAGTGGCAGGATCTCAGCTTGCTTCACCTCCTGGGTTCAAGTAATTCTTTGGCCTCGGCCTCCTGAGTAGCTGGGATTACAGACATGTACCACCATGCCTGGCTAATTTTTTTTTTTTTAAATGGGAGTCTCACTCTGTCGCCCAGGCTGGAATGCAGTGGCACGATCTCGGCTCACTGCAAGCTCTGCCTCCTGGGTTCACGCCATTCTCCTGCCTCAGTTTCCCAAGTAACTGGGACTACAGGTGCCCACCACCACGCCCGGCTAATTTTTTGTATTTTTAGTAGAGACTGGGTTTCACCATGTTAGCCAGGATGATGTCGATCTCCTGACCTTGTGATGCGCCCGCCTCGGCCTCCCAGTAATTTTTGTATTTTTAGTAGAGATGGGTTTTCACCATGTTGCCCAGGCTGGTCTTGAACTCCTGACCTCAAGTGAGTTGCCCACCTTGGCCTCCCAAAGTGTTGGGATTAGAGGTGTGAGCCATTGTGCCCAGCCAACTTCATGCATTTTCTTTCTTTTATTTTCTTTTTTTGAGACGGAGTCTTACTCTGTTGTGCAAGCTTGAGGGCAGTGGCATGATCTCGGCTCACTGCAACCTCCACCTCCTGGGTTCAAGTGATCCTCCCACCTCAGCCTCCCAAGTAGCTGGAATTACAGGTGCATGCCACTACACTAGCTAATTTTTGTATTTTTTAGTAGAGATGGGGTTTCACCATGTTGGCCAGGCTGGTCTTGACCTCCTGACCTCAAATGATCTGCCCAACTCGGCCTCCCAAAGTGCTGGGATACAGACATGAGCCACTATGCCTGGCCTTCACACTTTCTTTAGATTATTTCTTAGAGTGTCTACCTCTACTGTTCCCATTATCAGTCTGTGATCTCATGTTGTCCACTTTTTTCCATTAGAGCCCTTAGCATATCAATAATAGTTGTATTCCATTTCTTGGTCTGATAATTCCAACATCTCTGCCATATTTAAGTCTGGCTCTGATGTTTGCTGTGTCTTCAAACTGTGTTTTTTGTTTTTTATTATGCCTTACAAGTTTTTGTTGACGGCTGGTGGTGCTGAACCAGGAAGAGGTAAATGGACTTTCTGTGTGAAGTTTTATGTTGGTCTGGTTTAGGGGTTGTGCCATGTGTGTTGTTTGTTAACTATAGGTGTCCGAGGCTTAAATCTCTGGTGTCTTAGTTTTTGTCTCCCTGTTGTCTTTAGGGTTTCCTAGAGATTTCTCAAATAAGTTCTGAGATGAGCAGTTCTTTCGCTTGTATCCCCTGTTATTATACAGGAGCCCTGTCGATGTGGCAGTGAGATGTGGGAAAGGGGAGCCAGAGCAGGCTGGGGTTAAGTTATGTTCTCTTCCTCCAGGTTTGTTGGTATCTGGTAAAATCACGATTGGCCTGGCTGTGTGTGTGTGTGTGTATGTGTTTTTTTTTTTTTTTTGAGGGCAGGCCTTGTAAAAAAAAAAAAAAAAAAGACGCATTTCTTTTTATTTTTAGTTTTTTAAATTAATTTAATTAATTTATTTTGAGACATCGAGTCTCACCCTGCCGCCCAGGCCGGAGTGCAATGGCGCAATCTTGGCTCACTGCAACCTGCCCCTCCTGGGTTCAAGTGATTCTCCTGCCTCAGCCTCCCGAGTAGCGGGGATTACAGGCGTGAGCCACCGTGCCCGGCCTCTTATTTTTAGGCAGCATCTCACTCTGTCGCCTAGGCTGGAGTTCAGTGGTGCCATCATAGCTCACTGCAGCCTCCATCTCTGGGGTTCCAGCGATCCTCCTGCCTCAGCCTCCCGAGTAGATGAGACTACAGGGGCCAGCCACCATGCCCGGTTTTTTTTTCTTTTAATTTTTACAGAGACGGGGTCTCACTCTCCATCCAGGCTGGAAAGGATGCCTGGGTGCCTTTTATTATTATTATTTGCTTAATTATTTTTAGACAGAGTCTCGCTCTGCTTCCAGGTTGGAGGGCTGCGCACCGATCTCCGCTCACTGCAACCTCTGCCTCCCGGTGCACGCGATTCTCCTGCCCCAGCCTCCCGGGCAGCTGGGATTGCTGGCGCCGCCTCCACCCCGGCTAAATTTTGTATGTTTAGTAGAGTCGGGGTTTCGCCATGTTGGTCAGGCTGGTCACGAACTCCCGACCTCAAGTGATCCGTCCGCCTCGGCCTCCCCAAGGTCGGGGGTCACGGGCGCGCCCCCGCCGGGCCCCGGACGCCGCGGAAGTCGCTCCTCAGCCGGGAGGAGCAGCCGAGGCCCCGCCCACGCCAACCGCCTCGCCCGCCACCGCCCGGTTTCCACGGTGACGGGCGCCCGGCGGGGCTGCCTGGCCGAGCCGGGTGCAGCGGCCGCGGGAAGGTCCCGGCGATGGCGAGATGAGCGTTGCGGGGGTGGTGGCGGGGACGCGTCCCCCCAGCTCGCCCACCCCGGGCTCCCGGCGCCGGCGCCAGCGCCCCTCTGTGGGCGTCCAGTCTGGGAGGCCGCAGAGCCCGCAGCTCCGGCCCAGCGACCCGCAGAAACGGAACCCGGACCTGGAGAAGAGCCTGCAGTTCCTGCAGCAGCAGCACTCGGAGATGCTGGCCAAGCTCCACGAGGAGATCGAGCACCTGAAGCGGGAGAACAAGGGTGAGCCGGGAGGGACCCCAGGCCAGCGCTTCCTCCCCAGCACCCCGAACGCCGCCGCTCCCGCAGCGCGGAACAGCCATGAACTCCAGCACAGGTCCGGGCTCAGGGACACAGGACAGACTCCAGCACGGGCCCGGGCTCGGGGGGACACAGGACAGACTCCAGCACACGCCCGGGCTCGGGGGGATCACAGGACAGACTCCAGCACACGCCCGGGCTCGGGGGGATCACAGGACAGCAAGTCCGCCCCGGGTCCTGCCATGCCGAGCTGTCCCCTCCTCCCAGAGGGAGACCCGCGTGGCCCTGGGCAGTGCCGACCCTGTCCGCCTGTGGCCTGGGGCAGCATCATTTCAGCTGCTGACCCGGCCAGTCTTCTTCTCTCCAGGCAGGGTCAGACCCACCTGTTAAAAACTTTATAGAGGGGGCTGGGCGCGGTGGCTCAGGCTTGTAATCCCAGCACTTTGGGAGGCCGAGGCGGTTGGATCACGAGGTGAGGAGATCGAGACCATCCTGGCAAACACGGTGAAACCCCGTCTCTACTAAAAAAATACAAAAAATTAGCCGGGCGAGGTGGCGGCG